TATAAATAACACACGACACGTCGCGCCAAAATGACGCGTAACATATTTGAAATCGATCATGACATGCCGTGATAAAACCTTTATTGATTGAGGCTTTTTAACTGCCCAACCCACAAACCGATATCCAACGTCTTTTACAATTAGGTCGGGTAAACACCTTTTATTGGGGTTTGTAAACTCTTCATGAAGTCATTCCTCGGAGGGTGTAGAGGATTGTCCGTCAATTTTCATGTACCTAAAGTAGATACCAATCCTATGTCTCGAAATTACGTTCTCTAGGGAGTACGGAACCTTTTAAAAAGAACAAAATAGGTACTGTTATATCAGCATCCCGTTGCCATACCAAAGCTAAGTAAACCGCTGAGCCAGTTTCAGTTGTTTACTTCGTTTTACTTAATGCATTGACGTCAATTGAAAATCTTCGTAAGCATTTCCGGCGATGTATGAATTAGTTCAGTTTAAGCGTTTTTGATGTGGAAACTTTCTATTTCTAACTATGTATTTTATATTATTCAATTAAAGTTCCAGTAATCGAAATAATAGTTTTTTTTTGTGTTCAAGATCCCACATAACAGTACTCTAGCTAAGGTGACACTAAAAGCTATTATTCATGATAATAGTAACTATACTAATTTACCAAATTTTGAAATGAATTATTGTGGCAATTATTATTACAATGGTTTTTACGACAACTCCATAGTTGTCTATGGCCATTCATAGACATCAATTTACATTTCAAAAGCACGAAGTACGTATGTCATGTTAATTAAAGACTCATAGCTTACAGCAGTTGCCACTTGGCCACGAATAACACACAACGCAAATAGCTTATCTTCTAATTTTTTGTTAACGTTCAAAAATGTATTTCTGGTCCAATTGAAATATATAATTTTGACTTTGACTTTGAAACGCCATAAAAGGAGAATGCCCACGGCACTATGGACAAATGTACTGAATTCAAAATTGTTGTGTCTCCATGAAATAATCTTTAAAATATTCGATGGCACGTCCAAATACTACCTTAAAAGATGTAACACAAAATACATTGGCAGTTTCGAGATATTCACAAAATAAAATTACTATTTTGAGGTTATGTCCGACCAAAAATTAACTGATAAAAGCTATTTAAAAGGGTCTGAATGGGTTTTTATGGCTTGGTATCTTTGACGCATACTTATTTGTGTAAAATCTGTAACGTGTTAACTATGTCAGGTGGCCAGTTACTGGTGGACACATGTGTCTACCTCACCGAGTCTTATTGATTTAGATATTGCTCATTTTTTAATCTAACGCCCGCGTTTCATGAAATTGCAAAGCATGGAAGGAACCGTTACTAAAATAGTCTGTTGTGTGTGACACCTCGCCCTATTAGTAAGTAGTGTAAGTTAGTTCTTAAGACACTAAATTGTGTTATTCTAGGCCCTACTCAAATCATAGATGTGGTAGGTATCATGACATGGCCTTTATAAATACCTACAGAGAGAAGGAAAACAAACAAAAATAAATACAATAAATAAAATAATGATTATTTCTTATTTCTTATTTTATTGGCCGAATGGTCGCAAGTGCGACAGCCGATTGAAGTATTACTGGGTTTTTAAAAAATTCTCAGTAGTAGCACGGAGTCTGGAACTGTGCCGAGTATATGACAATAAAGGCTCACCCCCTATTACATGGGACTCATAACGTAAATAGTGAAAAGTGGGTGTTACATCATTGTACAGTGGCATAATGTGCACCCCTGCCTACCCCTTCGGGGATAAAAGGCGTGATGTTATGTTAGGTTATTACTATTTCTTTTTCTATGAGCAGTTGAGACATTGCATCACAGTCGCACTCAGCATGATCGTAAGGAACTCAAAAAGTCCAGTTATTAGTGATAAACAACACACACGGTGCTGCGGCGTTAAAAGTATGTTTATTTTCAATAGATTGACAGGAATTACGGAGGAACTAAAAGGCTCGACTCGACGCAGAACATACCAAAATCAGCAGAAATAACAGTATTAGTATTGTATTGCAAAAATATGACAGACGCGCAATAAACGTCAAATAAGGTTCTACCCATAATGGTGAAAGATCAATGTTTTTTCTATTTCCGTAAACCAGCCAGTGGTATTTCACAAATACAACATGGTGCTGATGCCGCCGCTTACAGTGAATGTTGATACTTTATAATAATAGATTGAACAATCAATACAACAAAATAGAATACAATAAAAAAAGTAAGGGAACGGAGAGTAAAGTTCCTTAAGATCGAAAAAAGAGGATCGTTCATCGATAGTCTATGTGCGTAAACTGCCATGCTGTCATTTGACATGTGTCGGCACAGACATACCTATAAATGGCGTACTATAACTTCGGAAACATAAAATTACTAATTAATTTTCAAAAAACTATCCCAATGTAAATATCATTCAAAGTCTTTTTAAAAATATATTTTTATTTTAGATATATTATGCCGTTAGAGATTTGGAGACACAAGTAATTTATCAAGAGTACTGTCCATGGGCATTCTCCTTTGTATTAACATTGAAAAAAATACGTGCACATAAAAAGCTTGCGTAACACAGAACTGACTCAACCCATGCCCAATAAGTTATAAATTTATATCGTCATACATACATGCGGCATTACCACCAAACTTTTACACAATTTATTCGAACACCAAAACTAATAATCACAATCGCGTGACACTTAATATAAAAAAAACACTAACACTCAACGTTTCAGATCGTCCTTCATCGACCGTGGTTACCAATGAACTGGTAAGTTCCAACCAAACACGCTTATAATCTTCCTATAAAAAAGAGTAAATAAAGTTCACAATAGCATGCTACCAGAACTCATAAAAAAAAAGAAAGCTTTACAATTTCTGTCTCACAAAACACGAAATAATGAAAGAGGTAAAACGTATTTTCTTTTTCAATTGAAACTTATTAAGATTGACGGTTTACTAAAATGGTATTGGACGGGAAAAAACTTGCTTAAATGAGATTCGGCTACGTCTTATCTAAATGCTTTCTTTAATCCACTAGGGGCTGGCCACTACCCACTTAGCACTAGGAACGATCTAGTATATAAATGTTTTCCTTCCTTGTTAAGATTCCTATACAGATATTTAAGCGAGTTCACATCTCCAAAACCAGCAAGAATTGTTTACTTTCAAAACCAAAATTTAGCCGTACCATAACTTCATTAACAAACGACAAAAAAAAAGATTTTTCAAATATTCTCGTCAAGGTTTCCCAGTTTGCTTTTCCCAATAGCACTTCGATATTGAAACGTCCGGTGTCGGGCGACGTTTCCCGCCAATCGCAACGACGCGACGCCATGTTACAATTTAAATTGACCTGCCACAGACATTCTAGAACTTTCAAAAGAAAAATGTTAATGGAAAGAAGCCGTTTTGTATTTTCCAATTTGTGATTTTATTTGTTAAAGTTTTGTGATTTGTTTACATTTCTATTTTTTTTTATTAATTATATTTACAAGGGTTTTATTTACTCAAGCTGATTGGGAAGTGTTTATTTTTTAATTGGACAGTGATGTAAGAACACGTTTACATTCTAATTGATACCAATTAACAATGAAGGATTTGATTGATTCGAAACTTGGCCTCTTAAAAGTAACTTTTTTTTTTCTTTTTTTTAACTCATCGAGCGTCCGCGTTCCTTATGATCCAACGGGTGCACACGTGACATTTGGAGCATTTTTTCTTATGATGCACCGGGTGCTCATAAGGACGTTCGAGGGGTTAAGAAAACGTTGCCCCAGTCTAGTATTTTCTCCTATGTCGTTGGTGCGTTTACGAACATACAAGTTCACACACCCAGCCCCGGATCAACAATCTAATTATAGGAAATTGTCATTGTATAAATATTCCAAAAATATCATATACAACTTACTTGATTAGAAGAACCAAGTTAATGAAATCTTAACAAATAATTCAACAACAAAAAAGTCAGCCGGATTGATTTTCCACATTTTCATTACAACCTACCAAAATATGTCCAAAAATATTACAACTTTTAAAAAGCTCAGGTCAGTCTTGTTAACGTAGTATTTCAAACATTGCCTGAGGGATTTATCCAAAATTTGTTTACGCATCCACCAACGGTATTATATTACTTGATATTTTTTCTTTCAATGCGTAGCCTTGGTCGTTAAATAAGTTTTCATTTTGTTTATTACGTATTAATCAGACGTTATATCAAGGATAATGATTTGGTATTAAAATATTAACCTAATTATTTTTAATAAAGAGGAGTTTACGTTTAGAATGTCACCCATAGAATACAATATAGGTCACCTGAAAACGGTCTCAACTTAATTATTTTAGTATAAAAGTCAACATTTCTAGTATAAAGTGTCAAAAGTTACGCAATACGTTAGTTGACAACTAGTCAAATTCAATACTTTTATCGAAACGTCAAAAACGATACTGTTCTATGAATTTTGTAGGAAATACTAGCTTATGACGTCATCATATTTTCGCGTCAAATAGCACACTTATATCTGAAGAAAATGCAAGAATAAATCGAAAATTAAGTATATCGGTAAGTATATTTAATTGGATTGAAAAATCAAAATAATTTATTTTTGACCCAGGCAACTACCCAATTTATTAAATACAAACCTAAATAATCCGGAAACATCTCATTGTCATCTTCTCCAACACCCTATGTCAACTTGACATTATATTTCAACTTGACATCGTATTTCAACTTGACATCATAATTCACCATCATAATTATTTCTTTCAGCTACTACTAAAAACTACCGCAAAGTTAAGTTCGACGGTTCATTAATCTGCCGTCACCACCCGACACTGGCAGTATAGTCGACAACATCGTATTGGAGACTCGGTTGCCAAAGAAGAAAAAAAATTCAACTTGACATCATATTTCAACTTGACATAAAATTTCAACTTGACACTAATAAATATCACCTGTAAATACTAACTCCAATTTACTAGCATTTACTTGGTACTAACCAAGCTAAGCCTGTTTCGCCACCGGGCTGCTCAATAGAACACCAAATCATCTCTTTACCTGTAAAACACCAGCATCTACGATCATAAGAAACATACCTGGGATGTGTATTCTTCCGATACGGCCTAGCGTTCCTGTAGACATGTCCGCCCTGTGAGACCAGAGTGCCGCGGGACGAAGCCGCGCTCACGGCCGTGTGCAGCGACACGGGGGACCCGGACGACCCCGACAGACGACGCAAGTAACGCTCCTCTTGTTCCTCATTTGTTGGGGTCTTGTCGCCTACGTAAGGGGGGGTAAGATTTATAATCGTAATTATATTTATGGGTCACTTTGGTGGGTGGTTTTGAAGTTTTTAATTTTAATGTTGATTATGGGTAACTTCGAAGAAGATCGAAGTCGTGTTTGGTCAATATTGAAGATTAGTGAAGTAAACAGTTTAAATTTGAACTTTACCTCTATAATAATATTAGACCAGTCTCTCCCCAGTTTAAGCCAAAAATAATGAATAAGATTGATGTCTCGAATTATTTCCATCTTCTTTCTTCTTTGCCTCGTTGGCCGAGTGGTTGCAAGTGCGACTGCCGGGCCAGGGGTCTCGGGTTCGATTCCCGGGTCGGGCAAAGTACTACTGGGTTTTAAAAACGTTCTCAGTAGTAGTACGGAGTCCAGAATTGTACCCAGTATATGGCAATAGGCTCACTCCCTATTACATGGGACATAAATAGTGAAATGTGGGTGTTACATTGTACAGTGGCATAATGTGCACCTCTGCCTACGCCTTCGGAGATAAAAGGCGTGATGTTATGTTATGTCTTTCTTCTTTTTCATAGACACTTTATTTGATGAGCCTCTCTCTCTCTCTAGCCCTCTGTGCTTTGTATATTCACCAAATCTCTCAATTATAGTGTTAGACTTTGATCTAGCCTAGCTCCATTGACGGACAGACTGACAGAATATTCTTTAATTGTTGGCGTTACAAAGTACCTGTTTATGCTTTGATTCAAATAAATGCTTTGACTTTGATCCGATATAATATGTAGGTATCTCTTATAAAGGCGAACTCACCATCTAGACTGCCAATAGGTGTCCGCCTAGTTAAGTCTGGACTGCTGCCCCAGGGACTGAGAGCGCCGAGAGGACTCGACAGTCCGGCCGTCACCAACGTGTCGTCCTCGTCTTCTGATTCTGAACAACATTATAATAATAACAGATATAAGTCTACACAATTCATTCAGCTTAAAATATTTATTTCAAATCTTTAAACCTAGTAGTTTTTTTTATGCGTCGCCACACACTAGGATTTTCTCCTGTGTCGTGGGTACGTTTACAAACATACAAGTTCACATACACATGACACCCAGACCCGTAACAACAATTTGTGGATTACACAAAGAGTTGTCCCGTACGGGAATTGAACCCGCGACACGTTGCGCGGCTGCCGGTTGCCCAGCCACCGCGCCAACCATGGAGTCAATAAGTAAATAACTATTTAACAGCTTGTCAGACAAATTACATTTACATGGTACGTTCGACGAATAGTAGGCTGAGCTGAGTACCAAGCACGAATAAATATCGCAATCGTAACGTAATAGTATCGATTGCGTTCGGCGCTCTGATTGGCCGGCTCCTGTAAACCAACCAATCAGCGCATAACGCGCTCGATAAGTCGATACTATTACGTTACGATTGCGATAGTTATTCGTGCTTGGTACTCTGGTGATTTCACGTTCGATGCCCGTGTTAAGAAAATAAAATTAAGTATTTCAAATTTTATAGTAATCGGTCAGGGACACTAAACACGGTCTGAAAAAGAATCTGGCGCATTTAGTCAGACACTTTTTATTACTATAGTAACAACCCGATTCTTATTTAATGGGACTAATGCCGGAATACTGAAACGTTACTCAATTTTAAATCGTGCTCAAATATCGTGCCATCTCTGTCATTTTACAAAGAATTTGTGGAGACAGAACTATACTTAAGCACGACTTAAAATTGAGTAGCGTTTCAGTACCTATTCCGACATAAGAGTTAATGACACAACTAGTAAATAGTGAAGTCGACATACACTTCTGTCGACCCCTTTGCGATTAAAGTATGTATGTTATATTACAAGGATCAATAACTAACATTAATAAATTGCTGATTACAGTGATTGGGATAACTGGATCTTACGCCTCACTGTAAAATGAAACGTAGACGAATTTAATCGTTTTCATTTGATAAAGCTAACATAGATAAAGATAATATATCTATAGACAAATCTACATCTATATAATATTAATTATAAAGAGGAAAGATTTGTACCTATGTTTGTATGTTTGTAATGAATAGGCTCAAAAAGTACTAGGCCGATTTAAAAAAATCTTTCACCAATAGAATGCTACATTCTTCCAATTTGACATAGGCTACATTTCATTTTGAAAAAAATTAGGGATCCTTGGTAAAATTTGAACAATGTAACCGAAGGTGTAGAAAAATGAGTCTTAAAATGTCTTTCGTCGAATGCGCTGCCGAGACTATTAGCGATAGAACAAAATAATGTACAACAATATTGAAGAACATCATAATGTCTACAAAAAACTCCGCGGTAGCATATGTTCAACTATTGTAGTTATGTCACTACAACAATCCAAATTTCCAAAGATAAATAATTGTCTAACCCGTGCGAAGCCGGGACGGGCTGCTAGTATTTTATATTCTACTAGAGTTATAAAAGTAGTAGTTAATAACCTGTATCTTACTTACCTTCAAAAACATCAAAGAAGTTTTCTTTTGAGTCGTTCAACGTGGAGGATGATTTCGACTTTTTCTTTCGCTTGCTCTACGACAAAAATAAAAGGCGTGACATTAGGTAATGTCAGACAGATTATAAAAAGGATAGTAATAAAAGCTCCGACAAGAAAAGAAGAATTGTCCTTACTGAAAATATTAAATCTACTGCTTAAAATACTAACTTTCCGACTACTTTACATGACTGTTTATTGCTACAATACTAACCTAACCTTTTTTTTTCGCCCGGGGATGGGAGAAGGAGACCATCGCCTCCCACGACCTCTGGCCGCCGACCATAGCACTTACTACGGCAGGCAGCGAGAGGTCGGCACCGACATAGCTAACCTAAAACGTCTGTTGTCGGTAACTTAGTAATTTTGTCGGAGGTTCAATATTCTATTCGGAAGTTTAGTTTTGTTATTCGAAGATCCATTTTTATAGTCAGCCACAGATCGCTGGAGATTAATTTGTTTTTCGGAACCATTATTACTTTCTTTATAAAAAAAAGAAATAGTCATTTTGTCAATAATATGTACCTTGGTAAGTTCTTCTGCGACGGACATCTCCAACGCGTGGTGTGTCCTCGCTAGGGCCGCGAGAGCCTCCTCTAATACACGGTTGCGCTCTATCTGTAGGTAAAAAATAAGAAATATAACATTGACACTTTTTCAAATGAAAAACATATTTATTACTCGAGTAGGTATTTATCAAAACAATTATTACATCTTTGAGTAAAGATGTACAATTACTCAGTATTAAAATATTTTGAGTATTTATCCGAAAAAATGCAAATATCTTTTAATTATTAATTTACGTAACATATAATTTAAATTATTGAAATTGAAATTATTAGTTGTTATTAATAATTAATACATAGTATCACGACACCACACTCGCTGTGTCGTTTGCCGTGCCATGGTGCGCATGACTGTGAGCCCCGAGCGCAAATTGAAACTGGTCAAGTTACTACTTACTTAGTAACATCATAACATCACGCCTTTCATCCCCGAAGGTATAGGCAGAGGTGTACATAATGCCACTGCACAATGTAACACCCACTTTTCACTATTTATGCGATGAGTCCCATGTAATAGGGGGTGAGCCTATATTGCCATATACCGGGCACAATTCCAGACTCCGTACTACTACGGTGAATTTTTTGAAAAACCCAGTAACACTTTGGCCGACCCGGGAATCGAACCCGAGACCCCTTGCCTGGCAGTCGCACTTGCGACCACTCGGCCAATGAGGCAGTAGTTACTTAGTACTTTTGGTTATAAATAAATAGTTTTAATGGTTTTTACATTGATCGTTATGTTATAGTGTAGTGTCTTAAATAGTTAAGTTACCTCTCGACTAAGTCTGGCGGAGTCTGCGTCCCTTGCCTGCGCGACTAACGCGGCGCAGTGACGTAACGCTGACAGAGCTTCCGAGCCCGTGCCACAAACGTGTTGGAAGCGCTAGAACAAAATATTCAGTAAATAAGCAAAACACTGGCATATTATTAAATTCTATTACGATTTGTAGAGAGCTGGAGATTGAGCTCAGTGGCTAACAACTGATGAGAGTTAGCTCCAACAGTTTACGATACGAGAAACAAAAGAAAAACCATAAAAACCAATATGCTTTGAAGTTTGTTTAATTTGTATAATAGAAGTGTTTAGTTAAGCACCATTATTATAAGTAAAGAGCTACTTCAGTCGCTTACTCAGTAGAATGATAAAGAACATTTCAAAGTTGAGTGTTCTACGAGTACTTATTTGTTTATGATTCAATCAAACACATAAAGAAATACCTAGATAGCTTTATTAAATACAGTAAAATAGTAGTAAAACAGCAATTTCTAACTAGTCGAATTCGTTTATTAATATTTTGTATTTAACAGTCGAATTAATTTATTTTTGATCTATAAGACTATATCCAGTTACATTGTTATTGTCCTTTTTCGTTTTCAGTACCCGGTTTGGATGACGAAGAAAATCATGATAATAATAATAATTACCAGAAATCCTAAAGATGCGTCCACATCTGGCGAATGCTCCGCAAATGAATGCGTGCATTTAAAATTATTATTTGTACGAATCTTGTACGAGGCAGGTCGCGGACAGCTTGCAAACGGCTGGCGGTACATTCGCGGTACTGTTGCAGCACATGCGCCAGTGTGGACGCGCCCTGGGGTACACTGTTACATGTTGAAAGCACCGGTTCTCGTGATCACCGTTTTTTTTTTTTTTTTTTTTTTTTTTTTCAATATTACATTTCTTATTCTCCACGGACTCTTGTCCGTGCCCTTGTCATTCCATTACATTATCTTTTAATTTACAGTCAAAATTAATTGTTACAAAAATCTTACGTGCTACATTAACCACATTTTTTTTTTTCCACAAAGAAGGTTGTGTCTAATATCTATATATACACAATACATGTTTTATTACATTTACATTAACCTTACTGGACCGGCCCACACGCGCGATGAGCGAGCCGACCTGCTCCAGCAGAAGGCGCCCGTTCACGAGCATGACGTGAGGGCCAGCAATCGGTCCGATCAACCATTTCGTAGGGAACGGAGCGACCCAGTCCACAGCGCCACCGACTGTAGAACATTTAAGAATGCATGACGTCTGCTCACGCAGCAGTAAGCCGATTCCAGTAGTGCCAATGTATTTTGTCAGTCTTATTGATAAAATTTACATTACGTTACATTATATTTACTACATTTTAACATTATTAAACACACACAAATATATATTAATGTCACGCTTGCATCACAATTCAAGCTTACAGCGAGCCCTCCCCCCCAAAAGAGCGCCCACTACCGCCATGTCCCTGTTGCTGATAGCCATTTTCAAGTTATAGTCCAGGATCCCCCGCTCACTCTCACCCACCGCTCGTCTGATTAATTTGCTGATCGCGTCGTCACTGATATTCGTGTAGTAAACACAGCTGTTAGTGTGACGGGATATAGCTACCACGGCGTGCGATACACTGTCGTGTATCCGCTGTTTCTTCTCCGCTGTATTCACAACAACCACTGCCGCGTACGAAAGCCCCTGAGCCTCGTGTATTGTGAGTACGCGTGATCCCACACCCGATCCGTATCCCTGGTTTTTAAGGGATTCCTTTTCTACCTGAGTGTGTACCAGGTATAACGTGTTCGGAGGAGATTTGGGTATTCGCGACCCTGAGAAGCTTTTTAACTCAAGGGATCTCACACCCGACGCGGACGAATATATGCCACTGTACACAGTACTAAGAGCATATGCCACATCCATAGGGTTTCTGTGAGTGCAGAGAAGTTCTTGGCTAATAGCCACGACGTGTGTAGGGCGGTTGTAAATGAGGGGGAAGAGGTTGTCTCGGTCAATGAAGGGAAGTTGATTTATGTCACCAATCAGCAGAACTTCTTTGGCCCGAGTTATTCGGGCCGCCATCACAATGGCTCCAAAGTGATTCATGAGAGCCTCATCAACCATGATTCGGTGGCAGTTAGAACGGATTAAAAGAGCAAGAGAGCTGCCACCGATCACCGTAGTTTAGCAACATCGGGCGCGGTTAGTACTTGGATGGGTGCCCGCCTGGGAATACCACGTGACGTTAGCCTCCCGAGCGTACGGCTCGTCGCGTTCCGCGCGCGCCTCAAAGAGCCATCAGACCACCACGGATGGGGCCCAATAAGGCCGATGCCGATTCGGAGTCGCGGCGAACCTAACGGGTTACCGGGGCTCCGGCTCGACGTGCAAGAGAAGGAACGGGGAGGTTTTTAGTCAGTAAGCGTCTGACACTCCCTCCCGCCTCACATAGGCGGGAGCAGACATTCGATGATTTTCCCCCTTTAAAAAAAATTCACTGAGTGACTGACCATGTACGCGGAGTGATGCAGCGAGGTCCCGACGTTGACCGTCTTGTCCAGCGCGGCCACTATGGCGGCGCACTCGCGGAGCTGCGTGTCCAGCAGGGCCAGGCTGTTGGTGGCCGCCGTCAGCGCGTCCTGCATCGAACCTGGGACACATACCATATCATGTTTATCATTTAATGATCTTCTATAAGGTTTTTTGACGTGACAACGTCTTATATATTGGTTTGCCGGGTGACACTTCAAGAAACTGCGTTACGCTCCGCTCACGTTATGCGCTCACAATGAGAGCGAGTGAGAGGCACGCGTCCCTTCCACTCGGGCATGGTTAGCCCGCCTAAGAGCGAGAGAGACAGACATAAAAAGTGAAAGGCACGCGTCCCTTCCACTCGAGCACAGTTAGCCCGCCTATGAGCGAGAAAGACAGAGCGAGAGAGAGAGAGAGTGAGAGAGATACATCCTTTTTCCTACTATACGAATGAATATTCACATTAAAATTATTTTACCACTCAAAGTAGTTGTCACGTAAAACTTTCGCCTGTATACCGACTTTACAGGCAACCAATTTTTTTTGAGGAAACAAATTGTTATACCAGGGTAAGAGGATCTTTTAAAATTGTCAGCCATTTTGTGACTAAATCAGCAGTCTGATTTAAATTACTCCCCAGCCCATTTCACATAGGCCCATTTAATTACCCTAAAGTAGAAAACTTTATGGAGTCCCTTCATCATAAGAAGACCATAGGAGTTATCAGTGTTACCTATATAAAGCTAGAGTCCGTACCAATTATAACGCTAAACATCTGCCAATGTTTTAATATAAGACTAGGCAGAGTCACAGCAAGAGAAAAAAGGATGGATTCATTTTACAAAAGTGAATGTAATTTATATGGTTTAGCTTCTTACCCAAAGGTTTACATTCGTCGTCCAAGTCCTCGGTGGCTTCCCGCGCGGAGTCCGGTGACGCGCCGGCCCATAGATAGTGGCCGGAGTACGCAATGTGCTCGTTCAACGCAGTCACCCATTGCTACAACAATTATAATTCTTAACCCGTCGAGCGTCCGAGTTCCTTATGCATTTCCTTATCCTTATGCATGAAAGAAAATGCATTTATTTGGCCATTGGCACACGAAAACAAGGATCATTACAATAGAAATAAAACAAATACAGTCAAAATAAAAACAAAACATTAATAACAGATTTTATAAAAGTGAAAGCAGCATGGAACATTTTTTTCTTATGATCCACCGGGTGCTCATAAGGACGCTCGACGCTCTTAATTATAATACTTATTCAACCGTTTTTTATAAATACCTTAGATTTTTGCTACATTAGATAGCGCGACTGGCAGTTTGATATATCTTATAAATATTTGCGAAAACTAAGGTGCTTCACGTCGGTCTTCTGCGAGGCCTTGGTATCACTCCGGTCAAGCCGGCCCATTCGTGCCAAAGCATAGCTCTCCCACACTTAGCTCTGTCTTATTATACTTCTGTCTCGACAAATTCTTGTAAAATGACAGAGATGGCACGATATTTAAGTGCTACTTAAAATTGAGTAGCGTTTCAGTACTCAAATGTAATACTTCATAATCTTTAAAAGGACAATTTTATTGTTTTTCGTTCATAAATAGTTTAGAAAAAATTTGTTTGTATTACTTTTCTGTCACCGACCTGTCTACACGCCGGCACATCCCGCTCGGCCTGCACGGCGAGTCGATGCGTGTCTCCGTCGCTGAAGCGCAGCAGTATGGCGGCGGGGTCGGTGTGTGAGGCCGAGAGCGCGGCGGCGTCGAGGTACTTGCGCGCGCGCCAGTGCGGCCCGCCGCGCGCCGCCTCCGCGCGGCTCCCGTAGTACAGCAGCACGCCGCGCTGCACTACCGCCTGGGAACATACTTACTTACATTCTATTCTATTCAGCAGCTGTAGCCTAATACCATTTACCGCTTGTCTACTTTTTTTTTCTTCCTTTGGCAACCGAGTCTCCAATACGATGTTGTCGACTATACTGCCAGCTTGTCTACATGTAGAATAGAAAACCAAATTATATGGAATTGACGTAAATTTTGACACTTGTCAGTGTCATCCCCATACATTTTGATTTCTACTCTCTCTGTAGACAAGCGCGTTAAAGTGGCGTTTGGCTAAAGGCACAGGACTTTCTGTTTAGTTTTGCACTTGTTTATCACTCTGTAATCCTTTGTCAAATGTCTAAGATTGGGATAAACATAAGTTAAACTACTATTGAGCATGATCAGCCATGTAGTGAAGATATAATAGTTAGAATAAGAATATATATTTGTCGGTCTTTTCGTAATGATTAAGGAACTCCACACAGACAGAGACCGATCAAGCTGGCTCTCTGATTAATTCGATTGAGGTCTCTTACTTGTCTATTAAGCATAGAGATTATGGAAAATATGGGCCTTATATACATAACCTTATTTTGTAGAGGAGGTCCATAGTCCATTTGTAAATGGACTTAAAACTATGTGTAATCGAAAAGATTTCCTCTTTTCTTCAACTCACCCAAACCGGTCTCCATCCCAAGAACCGTGACCTCTTCAGTAACGGACCCTCGAACCTCGCGGCAGTTCTCTGTAACCGCTGCACCGGTCGCACACTTAACACTTCACGCATCTCTGTGTCCTTGGCCATGTCTATAGCTAACTGACCTGTGTACACATATCAGGAGTTAGCTTATGAGAATTTGCGTTACTTAGATGGCGCCACTGGCGTTTTTAGTCATGTCGGTTCAATGAAAGATTATTTGTTTCCAAAAATGATGACGTTTTCGGATTCTTAACAAACCTTCTCTAGTACAAATAAGTTTTTCGGGCAGTTAGAGAACAATTATTATTTATTCGTCCCCAAAAATTATTACTGCAGTTCTGGGTGTGAAATGTGATTTGTTTGTGAATGCACACATGACGTAAGAGAGATTCCTAGTGTTTTTAAACTAAGATAACTAATAAAAAGTAAGTCTATTTTTATATATAGACATTGTATGGTATTATAGTATGGCCTATCACCACAACGTTCGATTGTTCGATGTTAAGTTTTTCGTGTAGGTACTAACCACTATTATTCCTAAGCGTAGTGTCGACTCCATTCTGCAGTAGTAACACGGCGAGTCTAGTGTGCCCTCTGTACGCCGCGCAGTGCAAACAGGTGTTACCTTGTGCGTCCACGCAGTTTATATTTGGAGGATTTGGACTGCTTAGCTGGAACAATAAAATGTTGGTGATGAGATATTAGTTTTTGAAATATTTAGAGATATGTATTTGCACGGGCCTGCGGACGGCGAGCATGGGTGACTCGTCGCCCAACCAGAACCAGACCCGAGCGTACGGCGCGTCGCGTTGCGAAAGCGCCTCAAAGAGCCATCAGACCACCACAGATGGGGCCCAATAGGGCTGATGCCGATACGGAGCCGCGGAGGACTTAACGGGTTGCGGGTTATAGATATGTATTTGATAATTTATTATTAGTTTTGATGCTAAGAAATAAATATAAGTGACTACGCCTGAATACTGAAAGTTTACTTAATTTTAAGTTGTATTTAAAAATCGTGGCATCTCTCTCATTGGATAAAGAATTTGTAGTGACAGAACTATACTTAAGGACGACTTTAAATTGAGTAGCGTTTAAGTATTTCAGCGTCAATGTTTTCTTATTCCTTTTGCTAAGAACACTGTCTCAAGAAAACAAGTTGAATTAATTCACAGTTTATCTAAATGGTAATCACACAAAAACATTCTATAAGGGTGATTTTAATGCAATATGAAATATTATATGTCTTTTAAAGTGATATTAAATTGTGTATATTTTTTTTATATAACGTTGCCCCACATTAAGATTTTCTCCTGTGTCGTGGGTGCGTTTACAAACATACAAGTTCACATACACAATGACACCCAGACCCGTAACAACTATGTATTTGTAAATCACACAAAGAGTTTCTCCGTGCGGGAAGCGAACGCGCGACATGTTGCACGGCAGCCGGTTGCCCAACCACCGCACCAACGTGCAGTCAAATTAAATAATCTATCAATTTAAATAATATCAAGGTAATATCTTTACTATTCCTCTTTTCTTAGTAACACCTGTTGGCGACTGTCAACAATGAGCATTACAATACTGTATTTATTCGGTAAAAAAGGTTTAACGTCGTCCGGGGTACACCAATCGTCCCGCATACTTTTAGTACTTTAGGGTTAATTCACACTGAGGAGCGACGCGCAGATACTTAGATACTTAAAGAAGCTAGTGATTTTACGCTTCGCATGAAACGTATATTTTACTTTACATAACATAACGCCTTTTATCTCCGAAGGGGTAGGTAGAGGTGCACGTTATGCCACTGTACAATGTAACACCCACTTTTCACTATTTATGTTATGAGTCCCATGTAATAGGGGGTGAGCCTATTGCCATATACCGGGCACATTTCCAGACTCCGTGCTACTACTTCGCCCGACTCGGGAATCGAACCCGAGACCCGTTGCCCGGCAGTCGCACTTGCGACCACTCGACCAACGAGGCAGTCATATATTTTATTTGTAGAAAATAAAGTTGCATTTTGAGCCGCTCTTAAACGACGTGTGCACAGCCTCGCGTGACTGTGAGAACTAATTCTAAGGGTCTGCTTAACAATGTCTGCTTGAGTTTAGACAAAACACTTAGTTTTACAAAGGGTATATAAAAATATAGCTTACGAGTTCTTGAATATCATCAATCCTGCCGTCTTTGGCGGCGGTCAGCAGCCTCAGTTCCCGCTCATGTCTCTCCGCCCTCCCGGCTGCCTCAAGCAATCTTTGTACGTCCCTCGTCTTAGACATGTCACATGGCGTCCGACCTTCGCCGTTCATTATATTGACGTCAGCTTTGTGTTTTAGTAAAAGGATTACTAGTTCCTGTAAGGGAAATGGTATAGTTACAACATTCCGCACCTAATATAAAAACTTCATTCAATTTCCGCCCTTAATACCAAAAGATAAATATGAAAATCTATTAAAGATTAACAGATTGGAGAAGCTTGACTTGTGGTCTGTACTTTTAGATGTCGGTTTTATGAACAGCGCCATAAGTAGAGAGTATAAAGTTACAAAATTTGGTTTGAAAAAGTCAATGAAGCATATGTGGACCACAGTCGACAGTGTTCAAAAGACCTTAAGTATAAATATAGGTCGATCGATGATTTAGGGAGTGCCAGCCAAATATAGAAGGCATGTTTCGTTGATCGTCACGGAAAGTTCCAAATACACCGCCGCGTAGGAGGCGGCAGAAGCTAATCAAATGCTTTTAAGGCCAATAATAATAACCGATCCCGAACTACTGGATGGATCTAGATGTTTGACAAAAACTCAATAGAACTAGTTTTAACAATTTTTTTATGGGATGAGCCGGTAAACGTTCTGACGGATCACCTGATGGTAAGCAATCGGCGTCGCCCATGGACACCTGAAACACCAGAGGCGTTACAAGTGCGTTATCGGCCTTTTAAGGATTAGGAATTTGTTGATTCAGGGATTGGGGTAACCTCACTCACAAGACGAAACACAACGCAAGCGTTGTTTCACATCGGTTTTCTGTGAGGCCCATTCGTGCCGAAATATGCTCTCCCACAATTAAAGTATCTATAGCTAATTTCGGACATTGGCCTCTAAAATCTTCAACGCCCAAAGCGGCGGTTTGCGATACGTAAACGCCTTACTCTATGACGTGTCGTAGTAATAACTATTGTACCTTTAATCAAATAACTTTTTAATAACATAATAGTTAAATTATTCTCACCTCATTTCCGATAAAGGAGGCTTTATGTAATGCCGAGTCGCCAGTGTCATTGACCTCGTCCACATTGGCACCAGCTTCTAACAACGCTTCCACTACATCCTTATGTCCAAAGTATGTGGCCAAGTGGAGTGGCGTCCAACCTAGATTTGTTTTATTTTTGCCTGGAAAAAGTACATGGCTTACTTAGATATTTCTTTTTTATTTGGAGACTCGTAAGTAAATTGGGAAAAATAAATTGATTGTATATGATGTCTTAGCAATAGCATCGAGTTTGGAATTATTCCCTGAATATTGGTATAGGTTACTCGCCACTCCGTATTACACGGAGTCATAACATATGTAGGTACCTAGTGAAATCTGGGTGATACATTGTAAAAACGTTTATAACTATATATCTAGCCTAGAGCTTTATTAACCTCTACCCTTGTTAACTATATACTTTAAGGGCCGGTTTTTCAATCATCAGTTAATTGTAAACTGTAGAGTTTTTTTTAAGGGGTGAAAATCATCGAATGACTGCTCCCGCCTTTAGTGAGAGTCTGACTAAAAACCACCCCGTTCCTTCTCCTGCACGTCGAGCCGGAGCCCCGGTTACCCGTTAGGTTCTCCGCGTCAAACTTTAGAATAGAATTGACGTTTCAGTTTTTAGTATGGAAGAATTGTCAAATCTTCAGAGATAAATTGGACCCATTGGATTACATTAAGTAATAGTTGTTTTACTTAGCTAACTACTAGTTATTTAACACTAAAGACTAACTACTTTATGATAGCCTAAAGGCTTATTGGGTCGTGAAAGTTGTAACTCCGCTTATCCTTACTAATATCCTTACTAATATTATAAATCTGAAAGTGAGTTTGTTTGTTTGTTCCACCTTCACGCCGTAACTACTCAACCGATTGCTTTGAATTTTTGCAGACGTAAAGTTAGAAGTCCGGATTAAATAATAGGGTAATTTTTAACCCGAAAAAAAATGATATTCCCGAGGAAAAACAAAAGTATTGGTATAGATGGCGCTGTGTGTATTGGTATATGTCACATAGGCTACTTTTTATTCTTTTGTCACGCGAGCGAAGCCGCGGGTAAAAGTATTTCAATCACATTTCTCAATACTAACTAGTTAGACTTGCTAAATGATATCCTATCATATGGAAAAAACACAACATTTAATAGATGGTGATCTCCAATGATGCAGACAGATTATGTAACTTGTACAAATAAAATGTCACGAATGAGTAACAAATTAGCATAAATAGTTGTTTTACCTGTTTCATTTGTTATTATGTTATTTTATTGTTTTATACAGGTCTAATATTTGATATAAGATTTTTATGACTTATGTACAAACTGTATTTTTTAAATAACAAGATTGTAATTTGAATGTTATGTTGTGCCATGTAAAGACTTTGCCCTTGTTCCAAGCTTAAGGTTGCATAGATTAATAGTTAACTGATATGACATAAAGTATTTATAAGATGATTTTTATTAGTTAATTTTATAGACTAATTATTATTTATATTTTTTGGGGATTTTCTGTTTAGTTCTGTTTTTTTTATATAATTATTTGAAATGTATAACGCCTTGGTTTTATGACTGTAATGTATACTATTTAATTGAAGTAAATAAATAAATAAATAAATAGAGACAGCAGACCGGTATGCTTTAAGCAACACCATCCATTCTGTTCTATTTATTTAATATTTTTTGTACAAAACTACATACTCATGTGGACTTACCAAAGGCCATATACATTAGGTAACTACCACTCAATATTAGGGGGTTGAAGTAATAATAATAATAATAATAAAGCCCGCAGGGCACCTTGAGGCGAGGTGACGGGCATTAGCGATCCCGCGGGCTACCATCATCCCGAGTGCTCCAGGGAGAAGTCACCGTTCCTTCTTCTCCGGCTTGCCTTAATTGGCTGGCTGGAGTGAACGATGACAAGGAACAGGTCTCCCACCTCTGGCTTGCCTTCATTGGCCGTCCAGAGTGGAGTCGCGAGAGCAGTGATCCTGCTCGGAGGGTAAGAAACTATTCGTAAGTCGCGAGTGGGCCAGGGATGCAGGAGGCTTCGGCTGGAGCAGATGATCTGAGTAGAAAGCGGTGGTAGTTTCTTAACCCTTCAGCCACTCACATTCTCGTTGCCCCTTTGTTGCTATATCTAGCAGCCATTCCCGGGGCCCGGTCGGTGAGTTGGCGAGTCTCCGCCTGCCATTTTTACGTGTAATAATTACATTGTTTCGGCAGGTGCCATAGTCATCCATAGTTCCCAATTTTCCAGTCCACAGCAACCCATCCATAGCCCTATCTTTTTTTTTTCCATTATCCTCAATAGTTTTACACTAACCGGAGACTGTCCTTGGGTGCATTTCCATAGTGCATACAGGGACAGTCGCCGGTTTGTGTCTCCATTTATATATAAAGTTGTCTAAAGGGCCTCTGCGCAGTTGGCTTCGGCCCCTCGCATGCCTTCCAAATGACCGGGACCCTGTGGTCCCGTGAATGGTAAAGACACACATAATAATAATAATAACTCTTTATTTCAGACTCTAAGATCCATAGTTACATGCACAATATTTATAAATACAAATATAATTATAAAATATAAAAAAAAAAAAAAAATTGATAATTGTAGGTATATGTAAATAAACTAATTAATAACATAATAATAGGTAATAATTAAATTATTAATGGATAAGTGATCAAGTTTCTACAATAACAAACAAAGGATATTATTCAAATTCTACAATAATACCCTACCTCACGATAGTGATGAAGACAATTCTTTGATGCCTTCGGTAAATTATTTTTTAATGTGTAAATATTTAAATTTTTAGTTATTTGTATTTATAATATTTAATATTACTTTTAAGTAGGTATATCTATAAAGATTAGTATTAAATATTGTAAGCATTGAAAATACATTTTTTGCTAGAAAAAAAAATTTAACAATATAATTTTGTACTGAAGAAAATGTGCCCATCAAGAGGCCAGTAACAATAAAGCAATCAGATACAGTTCAGTGATCTAGAATAATTTGTTGTAAGCTATAAAATGTAAACAATAACTTAATTACTTGAACAATGAGTCACAGTAGTAGGTCATGTAGTAAATAAAAACCTACGATAACAAAACATCTCACAGCTGTACGAATTCTAATTTTATTGTGAGATTATGACCTCATTTTGTACTTTGGAACCAATCGAACTAAATAAATAACTAATAGAAATTTTTATTTCTACTATGATGATAAAACTTTAACAATTTACTCATTGGAATAGAATAATCTGGTGGAATTGACATAACATCACACCTTTTATTCCCGAAGGGGTAGGCAGAGGTGCACATTATAGCACTTGATGCCACTATACAATGTAACATCCACTTTTCACTGTTTATGTTATGACTCCCATGTAAGCCTATTGCCATATGCCGGGCACAATTCCAGACTATGTGCTAATACTGAGATTTTTTTAAGAAACCCAGTGATACTTTGCCTGACCCGGGAATCGATCGCAAGACCCATTGCCTGGCAGTCAATTACACTTACAACCAATCAGAAATTCTCGGACAACTATCGGACTCAGAGAAGTTGCGATATTTACGAAAAAGGAGATTTTTTGAGGTAGGGCATTATTTAAAATTGTGCTATCATATGCATATCACACATACATTACTAGCTTTTCTCGTGAAAAGCTAGTAATGTATCAAATCGAGTATCAAAGCAGACCGATAGAAATGATAACAATTATGAGCAAAAATTCACTTACTTATTGAACATTTCTAAGTAGAATTATTTTTTGTAAACAATAGATAATTTACCTTTGCAATTGATATCAAGAGTCAACTTCCCTTCATCCTTCGCTTCCAACATCGCCTTAACCACAGACAGTTCTCCATGTCTGGCAGAATATAACAACGATTCCTGTGCCTCATTATTACTATTATTGTCTTTGGAGCTAGCCATACTGGCGACTTGTTCACTCCGTGTAAAATTTACACAATGTTTTGTCGCAAAACATGGATTTCTGACATCAACACCAGTCAGCGTCACTCGTCTTTCTATATTTCGTTAAAACACTGCACAAACAGTCCGATTTGAAAATTTGAATTTCACATTCAACGCTCACTGATATACACGATAAAATCACACATTATGTCGAACGTGATATGTAAATTAATTAATTTGCGAATTTCAATTCGATCAAAGCCTACCCACAGTGCGCACCTATCATTTTAACAATTTGACAGATGCTAATGTCACTATGAAACGGCTAGGCTAGGCAGTGGGCAGTGCGAGTTGTGAACTTAATAAAAGTTCCGTACGTGTACAATTTCATTTAAAATAAGATCTTATCATTTAAGTCAAATATTTAGCAGGAGGATTTAATTGAAGTTACCAAATGATATACCTGTAATGGACTTTATTTATTTTATTTATTTATTTAAGTTTTATACAATTGCATAAGGAAGACTTAATACTAACAGCATTCTCTGCCAGTCATCCTTTGGGTAGTGCAGAAATGTACTTATGTGGTAGGTGGTAAGCTGCAAAACTGTAAAAGGGTCCAAATTAATAAAAGGGTATCAAAAGCATACATAAAATACGTAAATATAATCGTATAGATATATATAATTATATATAATATAAATATCATTATACATATAAATATATATATTTGTGACTCGTATATGAATTTGTCCTATGTTACAACAAGATGAAAAATTATGAAAGATGATGAAACTGCCAGCTTTCCGTCACGCGCCCTCCGCTTGAAACTCAGACAACTGGTTGCGGTTCTGACATTCGTTGGAAGCGTGTTCCAGAGAGAAAAGACTTGAATGAAGAAAGAAGAATGTGTAAAGTTACTGCGATGGACAGGACATGAGGACAGTGCAACAGCCGATTATGCGAGGAGCGTAGATTTTTAGTATGGTTGTTACATACATACTGGAAATGTGAAGTTAAATAGTTAGGAGAATTGGGAGAGTCAAGCAGAGAAAATAAAATTGTGAGTGCCCTTAGCTCTCTGCGCTGACGAATAGGCAACCATTTCAACAATGATCGCTGTGCAGACACATGGTCGTATTTACGTGAGTTAGAAACGAATCGAATGCAGTTATTTAGAAGACGGTCAAGTTTGTTGAAGAGATCTGCATTCAGGTTTAATGTTAGTTTATCAATGTTTGATGGCATAGAATAGATATTAAACTTAAATCACTGTGAAAAGATAGATATTAAACTTAAATACGATAACGATATACAACTAAAATACAAATACCTAAAATATTTACACCTTACAAAAAAGTTTCATGGACGAAGCCATCAAAAAAAAAATACCTCGTCGCTATCGTGAGGGTAAAACTGGCAGCATTGCCACTTTGAAGGGCAATGCCTTAACCATTACCCAAGGTAGTACCCAGCCCTTCGATCACCTGAAGTGTCAACCATCCTCCTTACAATATCTTTGTAAAGAAGATGTGTACTTGGGCAGTTGGGACCCACAGCCCTAGAGTTTTAACCCCAAATATTTGAAAGCATAATTGAAAATCAGGCTATTATACTTTCGCCGTTTGAGGTTCTTGTCCTCAAATTCCCAATTCCCAAAAGGCACACACTTGCAACCCCTTGATGTTTCAGGTGTCCATGAGCGGTGCCGATTGTTTACCATCAGGTGATCCGTCTGGTCGTTTGCCTGCTGGCTTATGCCATAAAAAAGAAATTATGTAAGGTACCTACCAACTTATCTAATTATTTTTATCTTTTAGGTAACAGCATGTGTGATGGATTTTATTATTATTTCTTTATTTACGGTACCCTAATTTCAACGACCTTGACCTCATATCTTACTCACTTTCCGTTCCGAAACATTACCAGTGGACGATACAGTATTTGATCTGAATAAACTGATTTTGTCATTCTCAGTATGTGTAAAATTAATAAGTTACCGAAAATAACTAACGAAAACAATTTGAAGCGTATCGTATCGAAAGCTAAAATTTAAAATCATGCTTGTTATTCAGAAATCGGAAATTCAGAATGATCTTGGTACTGTCAGAACAGAAAGTAATAACTGTCATTATTTGTCGTCCGAATATATGACACCGGTGTCAATAATTGTCCAAGTAAATATTATTGCAAATAAATAAAAATGTGTGATGCTGTTCAAAACTGCTGTCGAATATGTCTGGACGTCGAGTCAGACCATGTCAACATACTCGAAAATCCCACAATTACCCTTCAATTGAAGGCCTGCCTCTCCGTAACTATATCCTCCAATGATCATCTTCCTAAAACGATTTGTTCTTCCTGTGTATCATTATTGAACCAATTTTATAATTTTCAACTCAATGCCCGGTGTTCTCAAGACTGGCTTGAATCTTCAGTCCAAGAAAAGTTGAAAAAGTCAACGGAAAACAAAATGGTGATACAGCCGTTACCCGACTCCGAATACAACTCGGATTCGCTCCTAGAATTCCTAAACAACACTGCGAACATCGAAGAATACTTGAACAACCTTGGCAAGGAAGATATACCGTGTATTGTAAACATGTTAGACAAGAATGAACACACTTTTGAAATAAGTAAAATGAATAATAAAATCACAAAATTGCCAAGCCCTAAGAAGAAGGACTTGGCGAAAAAGTTTAAATTAGAAAAGGATGTGATCAATTCAGAAGTGCATATAGTAAAAGGTATAGTAATGAGGGAATCCGATACCAAAACTAATTTGAACCAAGTAAAAGTAGAATCCAGTGCATTTATCTGTTTTGGGTGTAAAACTAAATATGATGCGGTGCAGAAATTACTGCAGCACTTGAGTGTTTGTGACATAGCATCTAGAACATGTATACATTGTGACATGCTGTTTAATTCTAAGCAACAAATGCAAATGCATTCAATTACGCACAATACTTCGGCACCTTTTACATGCAACTGCGGACAAGAGTTCCCATCAAAAGAGAGACTTATACAGCACCACAAAACTTGTCTCATGGATTATGCAGCTTCGGTAGGATGTGTGTACCGATGTAAAGGATGTGGAGATACATTTAAAGAGCGATTTCAACTATACAAGCATGCCAAGGAACATATTGTTAAGGCTGAAGAGAGAGTGTGTGATATTTGTGGACATACTTTTAATGGTACGGAAGCATTAGTTAAACATAGGAAGGAAGATCATGAAAAGCCTGAGAAGGTGATATACAGGTGAGCCTTTATTACTTTACTATTATTTTAAGTATATTTAATAATCTAGCAACCTGTGAAATTCGGGTCACTTGTTATACAATAGTGGACCTTTAATATGTTTTTAACTAAATTGTATTGGTCACATATCAGCATTGTTTTAAACTGTCAAACACCAAGCGGTCACCGGTGACCGCAACCTATTGTTCTTTAATTGTGTCTATAAATACGGTACTCGACGAGTTAATAACTTTAAGCTTACTTGAATTTAATATAAGATTAAACATATGTATCTTGAATTTATTATAAGTAAGATTTAACACTTATACCTCTCGAGTAAGTCAGGATGTCAAGTCAATTAAGTACTAACATACTTAATTGAATGTAAGAAAATTATGTCCTTACAAGGCTGACATGTTCCTAAACAAAAAGTCCCTAAAACCATAGATAATAAAAAAAAGGATGTCAAGTCTTCTCAAATACTTTAAATATATTATACAATGATGAAAAATATTCCTATAATTAAACATTAATGTGATTGTTTCAGATGCAAGATATGCAACATAACAGCAACAGATCGCAAAGAAATGTACATACATGTGAAGACGCATACCGCAAAACCGGAACCAACACGTCATTTATGCGAGTCTTGTGGACGTAGCTTTGCAACTAGAACCTCATTGTTCCGTCACTCAATACTTCATGAGAGTGAAACTACAGTATGCCATATTTGCAACAAACAATTTATCGATGCAAAATTAATGGAACATCATTTGAAAGAACACATAGAAATTGCCATTTGTGAGAAGTGTGGACAAAGTGTGAATAGATATAAATTGGCTACACATGCCTGTATTTAGAGTGTGAAAATGAGAACATAATTTTGCAGCTTTTTTTCCAAATACATTTGCAATCAGCCCCAAGGCTATGAGCAAATCTTCTGTGTGATCTGTCATGCCGAGTGACTTCCCAGTGGAAGCTCTACTCATCTGCTGCCTAGACCTACTGTCTGTCTTCGAGTTCTAGGATGTGGTGTCGTTTTAAACGTTTCACATACTGGTTCATGGTGAGTTGGCGAGCGAGTTCGTTAGCATGTCGGGTTAACCGTTCTTTGCAGCTAATCATAAGATATAATTTAAAGTGGGTTTAGCAGAAAAGTTAATTTATTATAGTAACTCTACTAGTTTCCAGCGGCGTCAGGATAACATCCTGCGGCTCAGTGATCGTTGAACTGTTACGTGAGTGAGTGTACTACATAATTAATGTCTCAGTTATAATACACAATAATAGGGATGATGACAAGGAATGAAAATTAAACATTACCCTTTTTATCCTAGTTGGTTACTGAACAATAAAGTGATAATTAAACTAAATTAATAAGAGAGAAGCTAAATGATCTCTCTCTTTAGCTTATTTTGTGCAAATCTACTTGTACGATTTCACCACCGCACATTTTTGTGTTTACGCGGCAACCGACTACAGGTATCTAATTTAAGCGTATAATTATGTAAGAATTCTGTGATTTTTCTTAAAATTTTGTAGGCAAATGTGCCATCTTAGATTTAATGACGAATCGTGTAGTTCTTGTATTACTCAAGTCGAAAAAATATTTGATTTAGAAATAATAAGGTAACAGGGTAGTTTTTTACGACATATTCTTTTCAAAAATGTTATACAATGAAAAGAAAAAACGAATGTCGAAAATAACTTCTAATCTGGGCAAGTATGTAGATAATAAACTACTCAAAGGAACATGTAATGGGGTATCTGCTATCTCACTCACACGCAAATATTTAAATGCGAATGACGTCATACTTTACATCCTGTATCCCTTTTCTGTAAAAAGATAGTGACTTGACTTCTATTAAATGTTGTTGGACAAATAAAATCATATTTCAGACGAAGTCATTTTCGATTATAACCATTCTTTAAAATCTAGTCATCTACCCGACAATTACTCTATTATTACTTATTAAAAGCAATTTATATTCCATAACTATTTATGTAAAACAGAAATATACAATGTCTCTAATTTGTATGTCTTCGTTTGTATATTTCTTTCGTGTGATCAAAATAAAACGATTTAATTTCATACATGATTTTATTTTATAGTTATTGTAAAAGAATCTAAGATCGGTAGGTACTATCTAGAATCTAGAATACTTTACAGCTAAAAAACACAAATATAAAAAATCTTCACGAGAATTTTTAAACAGCGCCCTCCTTTTTTAACGCCAATACTTGAAATACAAAAAAAATCTTGTGAACAGTATATTCTCTGATCTTCTTACTACGAGGTGAGAATTGAGCGCCACTCCAGTTTTATTCCATCAGATAATCTAGGCAATATAGTTCGACTTCCATGTCAACATTTTGTATGGAATAATCGACAAAGCTTGATCGCCACACATTGATGTCGAGTAACTTTTCACACGTATTCTCACCATAGCAAAAAGCTTCATATTTGCTTCACGAAATTCATATTAAAGAAGTATTATGAGCACTCCAGCTCTTGAATAATCTATCCACATATATCTGGATATTTAGGCTTACAAGATAGCCGGGAACCAATATAGATTCTCTCAGCAAAAACAAAACCATCCTCTGTGACGAATGTTGAAGAAATCAGAAAAAATAACTCTTATTCTGTATGGCATAAGGTTGTTTAGATCGATTAGGAACTTCATGAATGAGGGTATGCTGATATTTCTGTAGTTCTTGCGGACTCCTGGAAATGGTAAAACATTGATGAGCACTATTTCAAATGGCAGTCGTAATTGCAGACTAATCACTGAGTGGACAACCAAAAGTGGAAAATACCTTCAATAATAGTCTTAGCAGCTTGCCTTGCCGTAATTTCGGAGTACCACGTGGTGAAGCGATGCGATGGTTGTGGGTACATGCCGGTGGCAACTGTCGCCAGGTACACTGAGGTGGTGTTGATGTTCTTCGTCCACGTGTCCAGCCTGAGCTCTTCTGTTATAGAATCCATCAGGCCTGGGTGGAAATAATAAAGAAAAAGCATAAGAAATAGAAGTACTTTTTACAATGTGCTGCGTTTTTCGTTTCCAAAACTAACCACCTAACTACCTAAATATCTAGTCTTGGTATTTAAGTATACGACGTGTCACCAAAATCTGTTTCAGTCAACTTGCAGGTCAAAATGGTGACCACTGTTATGCAAACCTTTTAGTCCAAACTTCGCTGCACAGTACGGAATCATGTCGGCACAGGGCATTAGGCCTGCGCTAGAATTTATAGCGATTATATGTCCATGCCGCCTCTCTATCATATTGGGTAGGAACGCTTGAATGACCTGGAAAGCAAAAGGTACTTGATGGAAATGGATAAGGCACATACTTTAACCTTTTGAGTACCGTCATTATAGACACAATTAAAGAACAATAGGTTGCGGTCACCGGTGTCCTCGCGGTCTTTGGCAATTTCAGCAACTAGAGGGACCTATGTACACCTGTTATGATAAGCAGCTGCTATACTTTAAGGACGAAGATAAATACTAAATAGTCTTTCAATTTACCCAAAAATGTGAAAGCAAATTGGTCTCGATAAGCTTCAAAATGGCGTCTTGTCGCAGATGGCTGATGGGTGCACAAGTCAGAAGCCCTGCGTTGCTGACCACCATAGATACATCTGTCAGCTGGCGTCGCATGCGCAGTGCTAGTGCTGCTACTTGCTCACGAGCCGTCACGTCTATCGTGTAACCGTAACACTGAGAAATAAATAAGACTATCAAAGACTTGTAATATTTTGTTGAACTTTTGGACTTTCGCAACAGAATCGTCATCGAACCTAACGGGTAACCGGGGCTCCGGCTCGACGTGCAGGAGAAGGAACGGGGTGGTTTTTAGTCAGTAAGAGTCTGATACTACCTCCCGCCTCACCCAGGTGGGAGCAGACATTCGATGATTATCCCGTCTTAAAAAAAAGACTCGAAAATTTGAGCGAAAGAGCAAAGGAAACCATCGGTTTATATCTACCTTCTATTTTTTTACATTCTATATACATAACATAACATTACGTTTTTTATCCCCGAAGTGGTAGACAGAGGTAGGGGTAGGCACATTACGGCACTTAATGCCACTGTACTATGTAACACCCACTCTTCACTATTTATGTTATGAGTCCCTATATAACATTCTATACCTACCTTGTATTTTATACTGCTTCGTTGGCAGAGTGGTTACAAGTGCGACTGCAAGTTTCGGGTTCGATTCCTGGGTCGGGCAAAGCATTACTGGTTTTTTTTTTAAAACATCTCAGTAGTAGCACAGATAGTCTGGAATTGTGGCAGGTATATGGCAATATGCTCACCCCCTATTACTTTGGGCTCATAAGATAAATAGTGAAAAATGGGTATTATATTGAATAGTGACATTAAGTGCCATAATGTGCACCTCTGCCTACCCCTTCAGGGATAAAAGGTATATAAGTAAGGTATTACTTACCTCTCCATCTTTTAGTCTTATTTCGTCGACAACAGCATTGTTTCTCCGTGCATCGTTGTCCCAACATATGACGGTGGCGCCCAACTCTGCGAACTGAATTGCCAACTCCCTTCCGATGCCGTGACCTGCTCCTGTAACCTACGTCAAAACAACTTTACCAAACTTCCAGACTTTAGTAGCTCTGCGGGTAAATGCAATTACATAAGTTGATCTGGAAAACACCTTCCCTTTCGTTTGGGAGCATTGAATAGAGGTTTAATAAACCTTTTTAGTGAAGGAACTTTTATAAATGTAAACATTACTAACTAAGACGGTCTCTCCGTGTAAGCTCTTCATAGTAGGCGGGATGAACACCTTCGCAGCTGCCAGTGTACAGGTGGTGCACAGTTTGAGAAGCAGCACCAGAGTATCTAAGGTCCAGAGAGGTACAGTCGCCAACCCCCCACTGCCCCACCACGGCAAAATCCATACTTCTTGCAGCACCCTAAACTTCCTGGCCAAAATACCTATAAGACGCACAAATATATTTTTCCTATGCATAAAGGTAAAATAAACCTAAAAATATACTGACTGAATGACAGTTGTGGTTGAATTGACAGTTGCTTCATTTTTTTTATAACGGTTGATATTACTTAGTTGCCTGTTCTGTTAGGATTTGAAAAAGGAGTTAGGTGTAGGTAAGGATGTTTTTGTCTCATTTGCGTAAGCTATGTAGTTGACTATTGTGATGAGGATTCCTAGCAAGTCCATATCAATCGACACCATTCTAAAGCCTAGGTATAGGTAATTAAATACGAAAGTCTACCATTTTATTCGCGTTTAACTTGCGTTTAATCCGAAACCGAATCCATAGAGTTTATAATCATCAATTTTATTGAATGACCACGAAGGTTATCTTCCACAAAACATTCAAAGAGTATAATAAGAATAAAACATTTCATCCGTATACTGTGCCTGTCAAAACATACGTACGTCTTTGACAACTCAGGATCTTCGCAACAAATTGTAAATGTGTTTTTAAATTTATCTATTGATTTTTAATTAATCTACAAAATGGCGAAACCTTTGCAAAAGGGACGAGAGAACAGATCAGCGGAGAAGAAGGATCTGGCCTTCCACCCTTACATTATATCCCCTGAAAGTGCGCACACGTCGATATTGTTGCTCGACGCTGTGGAACCTGAAATAATATGTCAGGTATGGATTTAACTGATCAATCCCCAAGTGGTCACCGGTGACCGCTCTCCACTAATTCCATTATAGACCTTATTTCCGATGTTTAGATACTACTTTTGTATGACCAAATTTTTTAGATTTATATCAGGTAATTGTGTACGAGCTAAACATACCTATTTCTTTCATCTCTTGAAAAAAGGTGGACAATCATCAACTAGGTACCTTGGTACGTCGACTACTGAAAAGTTCTTAGTCATAAGATAACAAGGTCTTTGCCTTAGTCGCTACCATTAGGACAACATCACACTGCAATTCCTATAAGTATAAAAAATCTTTTCAATATAATTTATACGTTGAGAGGTCCGCAACACAGGCCTAGCCCTACAAGCAACAGGTTTTTAGACATAGATTCTTATTTTATAAATAAAAAATACATTATTATAAAAAGGTATTAAGTAGTAACCCTTTGGATAGACCCTCCGAGCGATAACAAAGTTTGCGGCGCAAGAGATGACGAACCGTGAAATCCTGTTCGATTTGGACGCGATATCACACATCCTGCCTCACGTAGAGGCTCTGGAACTGAACATCCGAAGGTTTGCTCTTAAGGCCTTAGCACAGCTCTGCCAGTTACCACGAGGACCAGAGCAAGTATTGCAGGACCCACAAAACTTGAGAAAGATTGCTTCCATGCTTGTGAGGGTAAGTAATGTTAATGTATCGTTACCTAGTGATGTGCAATATGTCATGCATCCTGTCTAATCATGAGTCGAGCACATGGATTTTTCTAATCTGCATCTGTTCTAATCTTAATCGAAATGAGTGAGTGATTTTCAAACCAGTAGCGTAACATCGTCGTATTACCAGAGGCCTTAGAATGAGTTTTTTTTTACGTTAAAAGTACCTACCTAATCTAAACATGACTGCAGAACAACTGATTGGTTGGTTCATTGGAGCCGGAGCGGTTTGAAAATCACGTAGATAATATAAAGTAAAGGCCACGTTTTTCAAATCAATGTAAATGTCACTGTCACTTTACTTTTTTTTTAATTTTACAGGCACAGTAGGTACGTACATACTGTGTCTGTAAATGATTTGTAAGTACAGTAGGTACTCGACTCTATTTGACCACCCACAATTAAAAAAATATATAGTTAGACTACCTAAGAGAATAACCTATTATGGCCGTGCGTCGTGATGTATGAGATTACATGAAACAGCACTGTAGCACACCACGCGAGCGCCCGCGCCGTGCGCACGCGTAACGCAGCGCACGGCCTTAAATGTCGCGGAGAACCTAACTGGTAACCGAGCTGGACTCGACGTGCAGGAGAAGGAACGGGGTGGTTTTTAGTCATTAAGAGTCTGACACTCCCTTCCGCCTCACCCAGGCGGGAGCAGTCATTCGATGATTGCCCCCCTTAAAAAAAAGGGGGTGCCTAATCTCGCCAGCGTAACAACTTTTTTACTGTAACCAAAACGTTAACGTTATCTCTCTGCAGTTCGAAGATGTCTTCGTTTTAGAGTTTGCGTCTTTAGTTCTGGCAGAACTTACTAAGGAACCACTTGGTTGTGAACAGCTCCTGTCAGCTAACATCCTCAGCACTTTATTTGCCAGGATGAAAAATAGTCTAGACCCTGATGTTCAGAAAAATTGTCTTCAGGTAAGCATAAAAATTGAATAACTAAGTATGACACTCAATTAGGTACTAAAGTTTAAACTAAATTTCGATAAGATAGTATTACTGGGTTTTTAAAAAAAATCTCAGTAGTAGCACGGAGTCTGGAAATGTGCCCGGTATATGGCAATAGCCTCACCCTCACCTCATTACATGGGACTCATAACATAAATTTTATTATTATTATTACTACTGAGATTTCTTTTTTAAATATTCACTTCTACATAATACACTGTACAGACCTGCCTAATTATTACCTTGATAATTTGAGTTTCCTAAGCTTATTTGTAGACATTAAGCAACCTCCTGGAAGATCCGATATGTGCTGCCGAAGTGACGAAGAATACACAATTCAGCTGGCCGTCACTACTAGCGCTGATGCAAAGCAAGTTCCTCGCAATACAGCATGCAGCTATAAAGACCGTTGACCAACTGATCTGCAGATACAAGGACCAGGTTGTGCAGAAGACGTTCCGAGCTTCTAGTGGTGTTTTGGATCTCTGCGATATATTGGAGGTGAGTAAATGTACCTAGATATACGTAGCCACTTTTTTTTTCTTCATCTTCTTCTTTTCTATTCTATATCTTCTGATTCACTTCGTTGCGGGAACCAAGACAGTTACTCATGTCCCTAGGACGCGCCGGACTTCAATGTTTCGTTGTTTTCATGGTTGTATCTACTGTAGATCCTGGCTTACAGGAGTTGCAGCGGTTTTGGGAGGTTGTGGCGGGCTTGTCCCATTAAAAAAAAATACGTAGCCACTTACCTACTTATCTGCTTTTGGTTTACATATTTTTTTGGTAATTATATAGGTAATTTATTTGGTGATTTAGTTGTAACTGACCTACGTTCACGCAATTGAAAATTGTATTAAAAACACCTATCTATTAAAACATCACAACGTCACCAAAATAATAACAATAGGTAGGATCAAGGGTAATTAGAAAAATTCGCAACAATAGGTAACAGGTCGTGAACCGTCTTGTAGTGAAAAGTGGGTGTTATAATTATTGTACAGTGGCATAATGTGCACCACAGCCTACCACTTCGGGGATAAAAGGCGTGATGTTATGTTACGGGCAATACGTGATGATAGGTTTATGTCTGTTTCCTCAGTCATATGAATTCCGTGACGTCCACGCAATGGTGCTGGGCGTACTCCGCAACTACGTGGAGACTGAGGAGAATGCGTCACACGTCTACCAGTCGGGATGTATCCTTCGTCTGCTCGCCTACCTGGACGTGGCGCTGCCGGCTATGAAGCCACATTGCTTGGCTGTCCTTACTAAAATGTCTTACACCGCTAATGGGAGAGAGGTACCTATGTTGTTTTATGCTTGCTTCATTTTAGATGACTGCACGGTTGGCGCGGTGGTTGGGCAACTGACTGCCGCGCAATGTGTCGCCGGTTCTATTCCCGCACGGAACAACTCTTTGTGTGATCCACAGATTGTTGTTCCGGGTCTGGGTGTCATGTGTATGTGAACTTGTATGTTTGTAAACGCACCCACGACACAGGAGAAAATCCAAGTGTGGGGCAACGTTTTTTATATAAAAAAAAAATTACGGCTGTTTTGAGTAATTGAATGTAAATGTAAACTGTGGAATGATCTATCGTCGGCGGTATTTACGAACCGATATGACCTTAAAACCTTCATTAAAAGAGCGTATTCCTTTTTAAAACCTGTGACTCCTCTGATGTTGCGGGTGTCCATGAGCGGTGCTGATCGCTTACCATTTAAGTGATTCGTCTGCTCGTTTGCCTCCTACTCCATAAAAAACTTAAGTTAGTTAGTTAGGTAGGTACTTACACATATTTTGTTTTTGATTCGGTTATCTAGTTGGAAAATAACCTATCTGTGCCATAACACATAACGGCGTAGAGGCACACAGCGGCTCTAGAATCGACAGTAGCGTCACTGCCGATTTAAGCGGCGCGGCGCCGCAACGCAGCGCTCGTTCCAGCATAGCATAGTAATGTATTCTTAATAACTAATAAGCAATAAGTTTTTCACGATGGTCCATAGCAGAGAGACGTCTATCCACAATAAAAAATCACGACGAACTGGTTTCCCTACCGAACGATAATAAAACGCTCTTTTTCACGACGCCGCAACGCCGCAACGCAAACTGCCGATTTTAGCGTTGCGGCGACGCAACGCGGTTATGTGTTTCGGCCCTCTAAGAGTGTCTAGTGCATGGCAATATGCTCGGTCCCTCTTACGTACTTAAAATCTCACTTCGTCGTATAAACTGTTTCAATCCCTATATAGTTACAGGATGTTTAGGCTAGGCTTCGTTATCTTGAGGGGTTACGATTACAGGCTGTCATTTTACTTCAGGAGTTGTCATGGGTTTTTGAAGTAGTTTATTGCAATGTCCCACGTACTTATTTCCAGGCTCTATTCAACACGGAGACCGACATGGTGTTTTGCAACCAGCTACTGAGCTCCAACGTGGATTTGTTGGCTGACGCGGCTATGGGCGTCGCCAACATGACGCAGCTTCTAGCGTCCGCTGTGCGCATGTGTGATAATACCAATATTATAGATGCTTTGTGTGGTATGTTGTAAATTTAATGTTTTTACTAGGTACCTATTTGGTCACTAATTCTTACATTTCAATAGATATTCAACCACACACCACCACACATTTTGTAAAAATATAATGGAATTTCGGGCGTAGCAACCGAACCATTAGACCGTTACAAATATTGTTGTATGAAGGGATAACCATAGTACCTACTTATTCCCCTTTCATTAGTTTTGTTAGTAATTCCATTAAAAGGAAATAGGCATTTTTTTTAAGGGGGGAAAATCATCGAATTACTACTCCCACCTGGGTGAGGAGGGAGGATGTGTCAGACTCTAACTGACTAAAAACTACCCCGTTCCTTCTCCTGCACGTCGAGCCGGAGCCCCGGTTACCAGATATCATTTAAACGAACGGCCTGCGTTTCACCGTTTGACTAAAATCATTGTTCTCTTTCAGTGATCGTCGCAGATGACTCAGCAATCTGGTTCTATATCAGGCTAAACGCTTTGAAAGCCATAGTGGAGCTATGTCGAGTGATCCCTAAAGCTGCCTTCACTGTCGTCGAAAGCAAGTCGTTTACCGCTATCAGAAATGTCAACAAAAAATGTGAGTTTATATTATCATTGATACCTACATTTTAAGAGTGATATTCGCATAGCACCTTTTTGAAAAATTTTTAGCTGGTGCTTAAGTTTTACTTATATTTGAGTTTCCATACCAACTTTGAAGCCTAATATCACAGAAAAATCTAAACTGATTTTAATGAAACTTTGCTCTCATACACAACATATCAATGTCTAAATGATAGTTAAAATATTTTCCAAAGATTCTTTAGGCAAGCAGTTATTCTTCTTCTTATGGTGCCTGCCCTTCATTCCTGAAGGATTCCGCGCAACGTGTAGCGTGTGATTCACAAATTGTTGTTCCGGGTTTGGGAGTCATGTATAGGTATGTGAAATATCACAAACATACAATAGTATGTTTGTAAACGCACCCACGGCACAGGAGAGAATCATAGTGAGTGGCAATGTTTGAAATAAAAAAAGAATGGTTACTGTCTCTGTACTGAATTCTTATATATTTTGTTAGGTACCTGTATACATAATAAGTTGGCTGACAGTTCATATTTCGTGGTCAACAGTCGCTCAGACTCCCATCGAAGCTCAAAGGCTAGCGGTGCAGTGCTACATTAACCTGGAGATATATCATGTCAGCAAGAAAGCCATGGTCAACGGAGACTTCATGGCTGAACTCCTCGCCATCTTGCAGGTGAAGTATTACCTACGTTAGTTTGTATGAAAGTTCAATATCGGCTGTTTATTAAGTTAAATTTTTATCTTTCGAAATTAAAATATCCCAGAATACATAGGTAAACCGGCGGAAGTGTGGCGAAGATACTAAGAATAAATCAATTAAAAATAAACCTTAACTACTGTGGCATGAGATTTAAAACGGCATGCCAAAGAAGCTTGAGAATGCCAACCTAGCGCCACCCATCTTTGGCATCTCGTTTTCACCCATGCTATAGTACCTTGTTAAGATTTAATTCATTGATCAGTTGGTATTTGTACCTGTAATGTATTTAAGAACATTTTTTATATTAAAATAAATACATTCCCAGCGCCCAGACATCAGCTTGAAGATCCTAACGTGCACTGTACTGACCGGTCTGATGACGGAGGAGATAGCTAGGGATCTGTTCACCTTGAAGAAAGGCGAGGATGTGAGTATTTTATTTTATCAATAAACTATGACTACTTGCATTTAAAGTACAGTTTTGCATGGCAATATTTTAAAGTAAGTCAAGTCTCTGTCTGCTATGTGATCTCCACATCCGCCGCTAAGGATCTTGTGTCAAAATTACTAACCCATTTTAAGAATGGTTGAGTTCACAGCTCGAACTTGCTTGTGGCCGTGCCGAATTCCGTTTCATAGTTGTTTTGTTATTTATTTGCACCCAAACTTGGGATATATTTAGCAAGAAAACATAAGGTCTGTTGGCTTATAACTTTTTATTGCTTTATTATTTTTCATTTGTAAAACTGTACCGACAAGTGATGAGACAATACGATATCATGTCAATTTTTGGATGTACGATGCTAAACAGTGGTGGAAAAACTCTCCGAAATTTGTATGAGGAAAAAAGAACGCCTCGAGCCATATAAATTAAAATCTCTGAACCAGTCTAGTTTATTAACAATAATTCAATACAACGAGGTAATGTCAAAAATGGAATCCAAAAACTAGGATCGAGTCGCGGAGAACCTAACGGGTAACCGGGGCTCCGACTCGACTTGCAGGAGAAGGAACGGGGTGGTTTTTAGTCAGTAAGAGTCTGACACTCACTGCCGCCTCACCCAGGCGGGAGCAGTCATTCGATGATTTTCCCCCCTAAAAAAAGACTAGGATCGAGATCGGTCATTAACATCACAGACAGAAACCAGGGGTCACGCCTTTTACAAATCTACATTTGAACTAAAAATCGCGGGTTGCTCACGTGAATATACTGAGAACAGCTCTACTAGTTTCGAACCACAGAGGGGTTCTTCCTCATGAGCAGCGTGCGCGGTCGCGGCGATATCTCGCAGCCAATTGGTCAGCGTTGGCACTGTTGCTACTTGCGCTGCGAGCCCACCGCGCCCTCTGCCGGACACCTCGTGGTGTTCGGCAGAGGGCGCTCGTGCGTTTGCTTCCAACTTCGGCGGCGCGTTGACGATGTTAAAGCGCACGTATTCATTAGCAGCGCTGGTAGTTAGTTCGATTCCGGGACCGGCACAAAGTCAGTGTTACTGTGTTACACTCCTACTATAGAGACGCTGCGGATCGACGTAGAGGTAGATTGACGTGAGTTGCCCGCAAGTTTTAGTTAATTTAGTATATCTCAGTAGTCTACAGTAAGTCGTGTTTAAATATCGTGCCATCTCTGTCATTTTACAAAGAATTTGTGGAGACAGAACTATACTTAAGCGCGACTTAAATTTTTTTTCCTTTGAGTATTCCGACATTAGGTATTTAGAAGTAGTTATTCTAGTTATGTTGACTTTTTGCAGGTGATATCAAAGAACCTGCTCATAGAACACGTAGGGCTGGCCACTGCGCTGTGCTCGTTCATCATCGCCAGCGTCAGCAACGAGGGAGCAGACATATACATAGACTTGGGGACTGTACATTAGTTAGTACATTTTAAACACTTCAGCATACTTATGGGTCCCATGTAATAATGAGTGAGCCTATTGCCATATACTAGACACATTTCGGCGTGGTGGTTACTGAAAAGATTTCGCAAAATCAAAAACATAATTCGGAATTTGTCGGAAGTCGAACTTATAGCCGTTGGATGAAGGGCGCCTTTTCAATTATAAATTGTGTTATATTTTTTATGTAGGTAATTTGTATTGACAGACTGATGATTTTATATTTATAATGAGGTCCGTTCTAAAATGTTCAAATTATTAATGGACTTTCCAAAAAGTCAAAATTATTTATTTCAATTAGGCCAGAATGGCACTTTTGAACGTCAAACAAAACAAAAATTAAAAGTGAATCTATTTGCTCATTCCAAGGTGTAGATTCCTATGGAGAAGAACGAACAAGAAACTCCATAGGTTACTCTTTTTCAATCAGGTTCACAATACAATTCTCTAGTTACATAGTTTTATTGGTTCGATTGTGCGAGAACAATGTATTCGGCTGGTAAATTGTTATTTTTATTTTTCAGTATGGTGGAGAACAGACAAGCGCGGTACATAGTGAGTGCGTGGGAACCAGCGCTGGAGGCCATCTTCCGCCGACATCCGTCCGCCAAGCTGGCGTACACTGGCAGACTGGACATTAATGACTTCACTCAGGTACATACATACTTTCCAACAGATAAATTATCAATACATACATACATATTTAAAAAAAAAAATACCTACTAGGATTTTCTCATTTTGCATTATATGTCGTGGTATGTTTACAATCACACAGAATAATATTACATATCGCTCCTAGATCCGGAATAACAATTTGTTTATAAAATTCTTTCGAGCGGCAATCACACCCACGTCACATTCTTTAACTGACGGTTACCTCTGCGGCACTGATTATATCACAAAGTGGCTACGCTACTTTTCCATATTCAATTTTTTTTCATACCAAAATGTTTAGGTATAGTCCAGAAGTCTATTCTTGCGACGTACCTAGGAAGAGTCATTAACAGCCTATAAATGCCCACTACTGAGCAAAGCCTCGTCTCACACGGAGATGGTTTGAGCATTAATCACCACGCTTGCTCAATGCGGGTTCGCGATTACAAACTTACTTATAATTGGAAATTATAAACCCAGATTTCCTCACGATGTTTTCGTCTCGATCTAGATCTTAAAAATTACATATAACTCGGAAAAAGTCACATTGGTACTTGCCGTTGGTAGGTTTCGAACCCGCATCCTCATGTATGAGAAGAGGGCGTCTTTGTTAATCCCCTATCTATCTCTTTGCAGGAGGGTTTCTACTGCCTCAAACGGCTCGACGACCGTTTCCCCAGCATCCAGACTGTGATGATGCAGACAGGTCGGCCTCGCAATCCCGTGTTCTTCTGCATGTTCCTGCAACCATCACATGATGTCGGCTCAGGAACTAATCTTGCGAGCTCTTGTAAGTTTCATTTGTACTTTACTACGCTGAAATACTTGAAACGTCACTTAATTTCATTGATTGATTGATTGTACCCAATTTCTATTACCAGACCACTTGTCTGATTCTAAACTGGCGACGATCTCTGGAAGGATGCGGTTCCCTCCTGTACCTGATGACTCTAACCTACGGGAGTATCTTCTTAAGCTACGTCTATGGTTCGGTGACCCGTGAGTGTTAAAAATCTGTTATTTTTATCAAAAAATTTGTGTCTTTACTTTTACAGAAACCATTATAAGTACAATAATTTCGTAATTATTGTAAACTAGCTTTTTCCCGCGGCTTCGCTCGCGTCACAAAAGGATAAAAAGTAACCTATGTGACATATACCAACACATACATCTATACCAATACTTTTGTTTTCCCTCGGGAATATCAAAATTTTCCGGCATAAAAAGCACCCTATTATTTAATCCGGACTTCTAACTTTACGTCTGCAAAAATTCAAAGCAATCAGTTTAGTAGTTACGGCGTGAAAGCGGAACAAACAAACAAACTCACTTTCCAATTTATAATATTAGTAAGGATAAGGAAGTAAGGATAAGGATGAGGTTATCAGAGGGCCTTAATAAGGCCGGCAACGCACTTGTAACTTCTATGGTACTATGGGGTCTGCTGCGGGTATCCACAGACGGCGCCGATTGCTTCTCATCAGGTGATCTGCCTGCTAGTTTACCGGCCTAATCTCTATATCTCGAAAACCTGCTTAATAGATTTCTATTTCAAGTACGATTCCTAAGATCTTGTGGCTCCTAAGATTTTATTTATTTTTCCTCAGAGCAAGATCACTGCATTACTTTGAGATAGAAGATGCTCATTACGAAGTGAGGTAAGTGAATTTGATTTATGCTTTTAAGTAGCATTTAATGAGGTTGACTGTATTTTTGCCCACTAGATGGTGCTAGTGTGAACTCTCGTCTTTTGTCCAATAGTGAATTAGCTAGTGTCACACCATTGGGAGTTCTATATTTGACAGCTGCTGTGATTGGACGAAAAGGTCTTTCTAAAATACATATTTTATTGGTACCTATTTGACTGCACGATTGGTGCAGTGGCTGGGCAACTGGCTGCCGCACTACGTGTCACGGGTTCGATTCCCGCACGGAACAACTCTTGAGGTGTATGTGAACTTGTATATTTTTGTAAATGCACCGGAAAAGGAGGCACCACAGGAAAAAAACCAATGTGGCGCAAGGTTTCTTAAAAAAAAACCTGTCTATCATACTTCCATGCGTGATGGTGAGTGATATACATGTTTAGCAAGTCAATTTTATTGCTCAACTCAATTCTATAACATTCAATACTCGATCAGATACCGGGAGAAGTGCGAAGAAGTATCATCGTCACTGAAGCAGCGCGCGCAGCTACTGGGGGAGTACGTGGCGGAACAAATGAGTGGACTATCTCAGGAGAGGGACTGTTCCATGCCTAGCGTAGACTTACATCTTGCTGATCTTATGGTAAATAGAAATATATGTTAGTATGTAGGTAGTTTCATAGGTTCTCAAGATAATCTATAATTTTTTTTATGGCATAAGCCGGTAAACGAACTGACGGATCACCTGATGATAAGCAATCGGCGTCGCCCATGGACACCTGGAACACCAGAGGCGTTACAAGTGTGTTACCGGCCTTTTGGGGATTAGGAGTTTGAGGATTGATCGTTGGGGATTCAAGCATTGGGGATATTGAGGAAGGGGAGGGTAATTGGGACTCCGGTAACCTCACTCACACGACGACTCGACTCTCCCACACTTATACGTATTTTTTACTTTACTTTATTTAATACGTATTTCCATTCATTACCCCGTAAGTCTGTTATCCACGAGCAGTGAGGTGACAGCAAAATATAATACATTATTTTGTCACCAAAGAAGAAAGCGAAAGAGGTATGTAGGAATCGTAGCAATTGGCGTTCCATAATCTCTGCCTACCATGCCATAGGTACCCATGGGAGATAGGCATGAAGTTATGTATGTATTTTGTCACCACCTCTACTCTTGTCGTGGGTGTATAAAACCCTAATAAGAGATTTAAGGGCAGCCAGGCTTTCTGATAAACCTAAAGTTTTTGAAATACGATCTCCAATCAGCTTCCAACCATGGAGATTATAGCAAACCTCATGTCAAGGAGGCCTCATAGTCCAGCTAGGCTGGCTGGCTAGGCTATAACTGTCAATTTAAACTTGAAGTAAGTTCGATCGCATTCTCGGCCGTCATTGGTCGAGATTATTCTCACAGCCAATGGCACGACGGACCGCGTAGATGTCCCACCCACACGCACGAAACGCTTCGCATCAAGCTTCCTTGTGCGTACTGCTAAGGAGTGGAATTCTTTGCCAGTCTGTATTTCCTGAAGGGTATTTCTTGGGCGTCTTCAAGGCTCGAGTGAATAGGTTGCTTATGGGACAACGTGCTTCATCGTAGGCCGCATCATCGCTTACCAGCAGGCGAGATAGTGGTCTAACGTCGACCCATCGAATAAAAAAAAATTACCTAGCTGTAGATGGTCACGGGCCGATATTGTTGCACAATTTTATTAAGTTGCTTATACACATCAAGAAAATTACAATTTAAATTTACTGTAATAATGTTGGCAGTCGGACCTAGCGTCCCCAGTGATAGGCCTGGGCTACGTGAAGTGTGGCGGTCCGCTGGAGAGGGCGCTGCTGTACAAGGTGCTGGCAGACCGTGTCGGTATACCGTGCGCCTTGTTCCGCTCCTCCAGCGCGTACGCATGGTGCGAGGTGGGGGTGCCTGAGATTGATCCTGTAAGTTCTGCTATTTATTATACAACTAGCTATTACCTGCGGTTTCGCTCGCGTTAAAAAAAAGGTTAAAAAGTAGCCTATGTGACATATATCATTACACACAGCGCCATCTATACCAATACTTTTATTTTTCCTTGGGAATATAATATTTTCCGGGATAAAAAGTACCTACCCTATTATTTAATCCGATCTCCTAACTGTACGTCAGCAAAAATTCAAAGCAATCGGTTTAGTAGTTACGGCGTGAAAGCGGAACAAACAAACAAACAAACAAAGAAACTCACTTTCCGATTTATAATATTAGTAAGGATACGTAATTACAAAAAGGAAGAACTTATTTATAGTGTACATTTGTACAATGCATCCATTCTCATAATATAATCACATAAGACCATTATTGTTATGTTTTAAATAGTAATTCGTAAGATCTTAAATTCTTAACTGTTTGGTATAGCAATAAGGTGACTGTATAGCAATACTGTCAGTTTATCTTGGCACACTGGCTACCGCGCAACGTATCACGGGCTCAAATTTCGCACAGAACATTTTTTTTGTACCATCTACATATCTATTCCATGGCTGGGTGTGAATTATATATGTAAAAGTTTGTAACATAGACTAAGAGATTTTTTATAGAAAAGAAAAAGCTTTATAGGTACTTACTTGTTTTTTATGACCAACAGGAAGAAGACCGCGAGAAAGTACACAACTTCCCAGCAGGTTTGCTCAGAGCGAACTACATAGTGGACCTAATGATAAAGCCTGGACGACTCATACCACGCGGGGGTAGGGACTCCAAGAAGATCTGCGGCCCAGTCTGTTCCCCACCTTATATTTCTAGGAAACTACCATCAGTTTGCAAATGTGAGAAGAAATGTGACTAGTTCAATAAAGAGAGAAAGAGAGTGAAGAGATATTGACTGCACGGTTGTCGCGGTGGCTGGGCGACCGGCTGACGCGCATCATGCAGCGGGTTCGATTCCCGCACGGAGCAACTTTTTATGTAGTCCACAGACTGTTGTTCCGGGTCTGGGTGTCATGTGTATGTGAACTTGTATGTTTGTAAACGCACCCACGACGCAGGAGAAAATCCTAGGGTGGGGAAACTATTTAAAAAAGAAAAAAATAAGACGTGGAGCTGCGCTGTGATAGTACTAAAGTTGATAGACATGTAGATACTGTAATATTTATATGGATGATAAATCTGTTTTGGTTATTGAATGCTTGTTTATTTAGTATCAACTTATGAAGTGCATACGTAATTATATGTTGTTTATATAAAAACTTTCGTGGGATCTACTAAATTAATCACTATATTTTCGGCTTACTCACGAGGACTTTTTTTTTAAGGGGGGAAAATCATCGAATGACTGCTCCCGCCTAGGTGAGGCGGGAGGGAGTGTCAGACTCTTACTGACTAAAAACCACTCCGTTCCTACTCCTACACGTCGAGCCGGAGCCCCGGTTACCCGTTAGGTTCTCCGCGACTCCGAATTACTCACGAGGACTTCAAGGACGAACTCGACTAGTTTCAAGCCATGCTAGAGGCTCATATTCATGAGCAGCATACCGCGATCCGCGACTCGGCGACTGTCGGGCTGCTACTGAAACTAGTCGAGTTCCTCGTCAAAGAGTTACGTGAGTAAGCCGAAAACATAATTATTAATCATATGTTGTTGTTTTAATAGTAGAAGAGATAAATAAAATCCAGGGCTTAGATAGCCAATAGGGATGTTGCCAGGGAATAAAAATTATAAATCTAATTACTCCGTTAGTTAGATACGTAATTAAAAAATATTAGACACGTATTTTTTTATTTTCTCGTACAAAATTACAATACTTGGAGGAGGAGGAGTAGGAGGTCGTTACGTCACAAAGTGCTACAAAATGTAGCGCATTGTGACGTCACACGATATTTCAAATTAATATATCGTCGAAAGTATTTAATTTTGTGAGAAAAGAAAAAATATTTGTCTAAAGTTTTAAATTAATCTATCAGACGGACTTTAAAATAAAATTCAGGCGACTACCCTATTAAAACAATATTTCAACTAAAAGGTCTCAGACAAATCGTAATATCTAGGGTCATTTTTTACAATGAAATAGATTTAATACCTGTATTTATAATAACTATCGTGAGACATACTAAATTAACTAAAATCGCGGGTTACTCACGTCAATATACTGAGAAAAGCTCTACTAGTTTCGAACTACAGAGGGGTTCTTCCTCATGAGCAGCGTGCGCGGTCGCGGCGATGTCGCGCCGCTCAGTCTACTAGTAGAGCTTTTCTCAGTATATTCACGTGAGTAACCCGCGATTTCAGTTAATAAGTTTTAATACCTTACCAGAACGGATTAATTTTAAAATAAAACCACTGCTTAAATTAATAATTAATTTTAATTTCAAACTATACACAGCAAGCATTATTCGTTCGGTGCCATTAAAAAAAAATTTTAAATTACAATAATAAATATATTTCATATCAAAACCCTTAAGGCACTAAGTAGACAAATTGCACATATTCATAGATGGACGGACAAAACGATCACAAACATTTATACTTACATACTAAATACAATTATATTTATAAGATTGATACTGCAGCGCTTATAAATAAAAATAAAATGAGTGTGCGAGAATTTGAGTTCACTTTTTCTATTTGGTCATAATTATGTAAAAAAAAATACGGTAAAACTCGATCATTTACGAACTACACCAGAGCGAATAACTATCGCATTCGTATAGTAACAGTATCGAGCGAGTTAAGCGTTCTGATTGGTTGGTTCACTTGAGCTGGCCAATCAGAGCGCCGGACGCGCTCGATACAAATGCGATAGTTATTCGTGCTTGGCACTCAGGGCTCACAAACATAAGCTGCGTGTCGTATCGACTTTATTACTTATGTAGTTAAGAAGTTCTAACGCGGTGCAGTATCGACCTAAACTAATTAGAAATAAGGTACATATTACTTAAAACAAAACAAAATACATAATACCTTTTAGGTAAAAAAATACTGGTGATAAAACTAACCAGTTCAAAAAGAACTTGTTCAAATTATAACGAAATGTATTCGTTGAAACAATTTTTAACCTAATTTGTTTGCCGATAGAGTTGATAATTCAGGTAAGTAGGTATATATGGAATCGAGTTTCAGTCTAATTAATACCCAATTCTATATTGTAAAAAGAATAATTAAATTGATATACTTATTTGCTAGAGAAAAGGCACAAATCTTAAATCTTACTGATTAAAATATTACATAACATCACGCCTATTATTCCCGAAGAGGTGTACAATGTATCACCTACTTTTCACTATTTACGTTATGGGTCCCATGTAATAGGGGGTGAGAATATTGTTTTAAAATAGATAATCCCCATTATAGTTGACAATCGCTTTTATAAATTCAAATTACTGCATACAATATAGAATCGGAGTATATAATTTAAATATATGGCATGTGAGATAAGTAATTAAATAGTTACACGGTAAAGAAAAATTCTATAATAATAACAACTAATAAACAAGTAAAAAATATTTTTTTTTGTATATAAAATTTCATTTTTACTAGAAGAGGCACGAGCGTGTAAAATATACGTCCAATAATACTATTTACTTATTTACTTGATACTACAGCGTGTAAACGAAACGCTCCCTATAAACGCCGACAGGTTATGAAAAAATCTAGTTTTATTTGCATAAAAGTTAAGAATGAAATGTTTCTAACATATAGTAACATCACGCCTTTTATCCCTAAAGGGGTAGGCAGAAGTGCACACAGAAGTTACATCCAATTTTCACTATTTATGTTATGAGTCCTATGTAATAGTGGGTGAGCCTATTGTCATATACCGGGCACAATTGCAGACTCCGTGCTGCTACTGAGAAATTTAAAAAGAACCCAGTAACACTTTGCCCGACCTCAGAATCGAACCAGAGACTCCTTGCCCGGCAGTCGCACTTGCGACCACTCGGCTAACGAGGCAGTCATTTATATATATAGATATATGCCGGAATACTGAAACGTTACTTAATTTTAAGTCGTGCTCAAATATCGTGCCATCTCTGTCATTTTACAAAGAATTTGTAGAGACAGAACTATACTTAAGCACGACTTAAAATTGAGTAGCGTTTCAGTATTCCGACAATAGATAGTTGTAATCGACTGCTCAAGGCTAATGTTGCATGACAATATGAAAACAAAAACCGATTATAATTGTAAAAACAATTTCTTTTTATCAATGTCTCGGGAGCGTTCCGTTTACCCTGTATAAAAAAAACCTGCATTTATTCTACAAAAAGGTTAAAGCTGCCTTCTTACTAACATTAACGTATCTATAATAATATATAAGTTTCTTGAACATTGCGGTGGTTGGGAATGTCACAATTATAAACTAATATTATACTTAATGATATTTAAAATTACATATCGCAAATATTGGGGCATAAACTGCTTACATTTTTCGCAGAAAACATTTTAGAAACGTAAAAATATCGCGTACTTATGTTGTAAAACTGAAGATGCGTTCTCTATACATTTTTAGCTGCCTTTATACATGGATATCTAGTTATTTTTGTTATTGATTTCAGCCTTTTACTAAATGGCTGTGTATAAACATTGTAAGAGATCGTATCTACGTACCTAAACACTATTTAAGTCTTTCGTGTCGCTTATGCCTTGTTCGCACGACGCTAGTAATTTAGTCGAGTTGCGAATATTTAGTAATTCTCTCTCACCTTAATTTAGGGTCACAAGCGAGAGAATACTACTAAATATTCGCTACTCAACTAAAATACTAGCGTAATGTGAAGAAGGCATAAGTCCCAATATGAGTGTTAAAATGATGTCATAAATATACTGTATCCTACTAGTGCGCAGTTGATAAAAATATCTAAAAAAAAATATTCCCGTCAATTTCATTTATAAAAAGAACTTATGTCCGATCCGAAAAGTGTAGATGTCAGTTCAAAATATCTTTTAAATATTTTAGTTTTGTTGTAAAAGTTAAAACTGAATTAATATTTGTTAAGGAGGTTAGATTAGCGTGTCTTGCACGCTATTTACTTTTCGAATCATACATAAGTTTAACAAAATCCTTGCAACAATGACAGCGTATACGCTTTACAATACGTATATTCCTGCGTACAATTAAATACCAACAAAACTCGCTTACTAATAATAGGGTAACAAACATTACACAGTTGTTTGTGGTATTCCATGCACTATTTGAGTTCGGGACCTGGCTCTGGGCAGGGGTTCTGGGACGCGGGATACTGATCCTTCTTTCAGTGAAAAAGCTGATCCCGTCGAGGCCTCAGACGGGGGCCGCGACGATTGGAGAGTTGCTGGTTGACTTATCTGTAAGTAAATGAATACATCTTTACTATCCTTACTAGTATTATAAATTGGAAAGTGAGTTTGTTTGTTCCACTTTAACGCCGTAACTACTAAACCGATTGCTTTGAATTTTTGCAGATGTATAGTTAGAAGTCCGGATTAAATAATAATAATAGGGTACTTTTTATCCCGGAAAAATTTAATATTCGCGAGGAAAAACAAAAGTATTGGTATAGATGGCGGTGTGTGCATTGTCACATTGGCTTTTTATCCTTTTGTGACGCGAAGCCGCGGGTAAAAGCTAGTATATAAATAAATGTCACTCTGTATTGCCAAATACTAACTTCAGTGAAATACTCACAGTTCTAGTAATAGGTTGCGGTGTATGTGGCTTCTTGATGGGCACGTCTCTGTACTCGTAGATGTTGTCTCTGGACCGCGTCGTGTTGTCTATGCCGCTCTCCTCTACTTCAGGCACCATGAATATGTCTCCATCATAGTATCTGTCAGTTTCCCTGTGAAATTGATAGGACATTATTTAGTTAATATGAATGATTTACAATACAAATACGTAGGTACGTAGATATTAAATTGAAATGAAATAAAGCTCGATACTAGGTGTATGCCACAGAATGTTCAGATAACAAGCAAAAGGAATATTAAAACAAGCCCAAAACTCACGTTAAACACATTCTACTGATAAAGTGTTTAAATAAGACGATTCATAATATAAAGTGTTAAAACAATAACAGGTAAGACACACACAAATAGCCAATGAAAATTCCAAAAATATTTAATGATTCGCCTCAATAGTAATATGATGGTAAGATGGTAATAAACTTATACAACTGGATACTTTTCTTAATCAAAAATAAATTATATCGACTGTTCAATACAATAAAAGATTAAAAAAATAATCACACATTCATTAATTGATTTTATGACCAACTTAAGTTTAGTATTTTTTCCAGCTATTTTTTTTATATAAGTATGCTGTTTGACGCTAAAAAAAGTGACGTCACAACACACAATCTCGTAAGTACTAAATTCATAGAAAACTGTCGTATTTGACAGTTGGATAAAAGTATTGAATTTGACTAGTTGGCAAGTACGCAATTATGTAAACAGTAACATTGTTCATTTCAAATGAAACTGTATCTTATTAATATCCAATTGGTTAATATATCAGTACTAAGAAATAGGTATATGTATAATAAAATTTGAGGTCATAAAGATCATTTGCACTATATGATTGACTGCCTCGTTGGCCGAGTGGTCAGGCAAAATATTACTGGGTTTTTAAAAAGTTCTCAGTAGTAGCACGGAGTCTCGAATTGTGCCCGATATATGGCAATACGCTCACCCCCTTAAATGCGACTCATAACATAAATAGTGAAAAGTGGGTGTTATATTATATAGTGATAAAAGGGATAAAAGGCGTGATGTTATGTTATGATTGACAAAATAAAAAGGTATACAAGTCTACCACCATAAAAAGCGTTCTAGTATTCTAAAAGCATTATATCGAATGTTAGTGTCACCTACATCGCCGGTACCATTTTCCATTTTGGTGGTATAGCCCTGTTAAAGAGGATTTAGAACAATGTTAGTATATAGATAAAATATTAGATACGTTAGTATTCATATGAGAGGCAAGTATTGGAGACATATCTGAATATAGATGTAAAACATTAATTGAAATGGTAATGTTACTATGTTTATAATAACTTTCGTGAGACATACTAAATTAACTATAAATCGCGGGTTACTCACGTAAAAGTACTGAGAAAAGCTCTACTAGTTCGAACTATAGTGGGGTTCTTCCTCATGAATAGTGTGCGCAATCACATCACCGATGCAAGCGCCAACGCTAGCCAGTACGCTGCGCGACATCGCCGTATTCGAAATTCCCCATTCGAAACTAGTAGAGCTTTTCTCAGTACTGTCACGTGAATAACCTGCGATTTTTAGTTAATCTGGTAATGTATTAAATAAATAGAAGAGCTATACAATTTAAGTAAGGTAAAAGATTATTTTATAAAATATCAGTGTTGGACCCAAAAACAGACATCGATTAACAATCATTAAAATTATCGATACGCATTATTATAGTTTCACAACACTAGCAATCCTAAAACAACAAAGTACATAATAATTATCCAATCCCACATTTACATTACTTCAACAAATTTCAACAGGTATTCAATAAAAAGATATTAACGAATAGAATAGAGAGCTACCTCTTAGCGTTCCTCCAGAGCATGCAACATACGACGAGTAGTACAATGAGCACGAGGCACGCACTGGACACCGACCAGAATGCTATCTGTAATGGCTGCTTCGGCTCCCACCAATACTGTAAAATATACAGGGATTTTGTATCAAGAAAATCTTATTTTTAAACTAAAATAAGGGATTTTTTTATGGGATAAGCCGGTAAACGAGCCGACGCAGTCGCGGAGAACCTAACGGGTAACCGGGGCTCCGGCTCGACGTGCAGAAGGAACGGGGTGGGTTTTAGTCAGTAAGAGTCTGACACTCCCTTCCGCCTCACCCAGGCGGGAGCAGTCATTCGATGATTTTCCCCCCTTAAAAAAATACTTAAAAACTTTATAACATGAATAAATAATTGATTTACCTCAGTAATAGGTGGGTAAGTAGGCACGAGTCGTCCGATAACAGTGGGTAGATACATGTTCCAGAACGCGAGTTCAGTCTGGCGGTAGTTGAGTAGTACGGTGGAGTTGTACGTCGTGTTGAGGTTGAGGTAGCGGAGCTGGCCCGCCTGCGCCACCTCGAAGTGGAGGCCCAGGACGCGGGAGCGAGTCGGGTTACTGAGTCAAAGATAAAATTAAAATAAACTTGGTTTCTAATTGTGTGAAGAAATTTAACTCGATTGGTGTGTGAAATTGGTGTTTTTCTTCTTATTATCCAAAAAAGCGATTTACGGTGATTTGTCGTACATAACAAAGCTACCGTCAGTTACATGAATCATAATGCTCTACCGTGGGATTCTTTTCCACTAGACTAGACTACATTCATTCACCGAATCTATATTCAAACAATATTATTATCTACTAGCGACCCGCCCCGGGTTCGCACGGGTACATTATGCATGTAAACTTTCCTTAAGAATCACTATATCTATTAAAAAATTCATCAAAATCCGTTGCGTACTTTTAAAGATCTAAGGATACATAGGGACAGACAGACGGCGGGTAGCGACTTTGTTTTAAATTATGTAGTGATAACTAATGTAAATTGTAACTTACGAAACCACAACAACACTTTACTCGAATTGAAATTGGACCCAAAATATATACAAATACAAACTACTCACCCAAATCGAGCAAAATCCGAAAAAGTTTTCATGAAGAAATGGCTCATATTTCGGTCATTATTGGTCCATTGCTGGCTACCGATCCTTTGCTTAACCGGGAAGAACTCCTGGTCCATGAACGGAGCTCCAGTGAGGAAGTAATGTTCAGTGTCGTGGGCATATTGCCTCCACTCCGGAAATTTGAAGGCTTCCACCGTCGTGTTCAAGACGTACATGTACACAGGAACGTTTTGTTCAAGGAGTAGTTTCACCATCTTGTCCGTGGGTGCTCGGTATAGGAAGTCTGATAAGAGCTGTGGAGAAATTTTGGGTTGCAAAACAAAAAGACAAATACACACATGATTATCATCATAGGCATTATTATGACTCAACAAAAAGTTTATACATAGTTATATAGAGGTATTATGTATATATATAGTTGACTGCCTCGTTGGCCAAGTGGTCGTAAGTGCGACTGCCGGGCAAAGGGTCTCGGGTCCGATTCCCGGGACGGGCAAAGTATTACTGGGATTTTAAATATTCTCAGTAGTAGCACGGAGTCTGGAATTGTGCCCGGTATATGGCAATAGGCTCACCCCCTATTACATGGGACTCATAACATAAATAGTGAAAAGTGGGTGTTACATTGTACAGTGGTATAATGTGCACCTTTGCCTACCCCTTCGGGGATAAAAAGGCGAGATGTTATGTTATGTAAAAAGTTTATAAAATCTGACATCTGACAATGGTCTAACCAAAATAACTTCTTAAGAATAATCTTAAGTGCCATGATCCCCGAGCTTTGCAGGCGTCCTGGAGTAACTGGGGAGTTAGGCCAGTTTTGACAATACTACTGTTGATGGCTAGTTGCAATCCACGTATTACAGTTACATAACTTTTTATGCGATAAAAGCCGGTTAACGAGCAGACGGATCCCCTGATTGTAAGCAATTAGTGTCGCCCATGGACCCTTGGAACACCAGAGGCGTTACAAGTGCGTTACCGGCCTTTTAGGGTTTGTGGGGGATTCGGGGATTGGGGAGAGTGGGGGCGGGGTAATGGTAACCTCACTCACACGACGAAACACAACGCAAGCGTTGCTTCTCGTCGGTTTCCAGCACGGCCGTGATACTTCGCTCGAGCCGGCCCACTCGTGACGAAGCATGGATCTCCCACACTGTATCAGCGTAACATTTCAATCACTGAAGCTGAATCCAAAGGTACACATCCCACTTACGACCAGTCTTTAAGTTTTTATAATAACTATCGTGAGACATACTAAATTAACTAAAAATAGCTGTATGTATAATGTAGGCTGCGGCGACATCAGCGCGACCGCGCACGCTGCTCATGAGGAAGAACCCCTCTGTAGTTCGAAACTAGTAGAGTTGTTCTCAGTATATTCACGTGATTAACCCGCGATTTTTTTGTTAATTCAGTCTATAAGTCCCAATAGTGGGACTATTAGGACTATAATAGGAAACTTACTAAAGTTTGAAGAATTACTCACATGTATGTACTGGTCCCTGATAGCGCTCACATTATGTGGCTCGGGGTGGTAAGTATACATATATCGTATAGCTTCATACACTCCGCGCGGGTTCAGAGTGTAATTGTATCGTTGCACTAACTCCCACACTTTCTCGTTGAACCATCGCTCTGATATCTCAAAGTTTGGGGCTAAGGATTCGTTTTTATCTGTAAAGAGATATTAGAATACATGACACGATGGCGAAGAGCGAACTACAAATGATTTGATCTTAGGTTCAAAGCGCCTGGTCTTAGAGACTGTTGTACATAATCATGTATCTATTTAAAGTCCTATAAAATATGGATGTACTACTTTGTTGCTTGATTGCACACAATGTTCAAGCCAGTGCTTTCATTAAGTGTGAAAATTGAAAATGAAATAACATATAGAATCAAAATTATTTTCGATAATTATGGGCTCCTATCGTAACTCGAAAATAGTCGAGTGACCTCATTCTTCGAACATTTACTTGAATAAGTCCTATAAACCTAATTAACTTCAAAATCAGATCAATAAACACAACGACTTGGTTTCATACTCACACAAATAATAAGCAGCTTCCTGCGTAGTCACTCCGGTCATATACCTCAGAGATGGATTAAACTGTCTCCTCTGTAGGAGTTCTTCCGGCATAGTATTGAGGAAATGCCAGTCCCTCTCCCTCCATCCATCGTACCACTCGTCTCCAGGAAAAGTGAAGTTGTTCTCCAGTACTGGGCCCCAGGGGATGAAGCCTACGTGCGGCTGTAAAGGATTATAGGTGTTATTGCGTTAGTGGCAAAGTTGATTTCGTTTAGAGATAAAAAAATTGGTTGCCTGTAAAGTCGGTATACGGGCGAAAGTTCTACGTGACAAAGACTTTGAGTGTCTCACTCTCTCTCTCTCTCGCTGTGTCTCTCTCGCTCTTAGACGGGCTAACTGTGCTCGAGTGGAAGGGACGCGTGCCTTTCACTTTTTATGTCTGTCTCTCTCGCTCTTAGGCGGGCTAACCATGCCCGAGTGGAAGGGACGCGTGCCTCTCACTCGCTCTCATTGTGAGCGCATAACGTGAGCGGAGCGTAACGCAGTTTCTTGAAGTGTCACCCGGCAAACCAATTTATAAGACGTTGTCACGTCAACAATATTTAAAAATCTTTAATTCGAAAATTAAAATAACAAGTTCTTAGATTTTATTTATCAAGAGGTTTATTAATCATACCTAAAAATATGTCCTCTAGTTATATTCATAGAACATACTTTTATCTCCATTTACACCTTACCTTTTTTGCATCTCCTAAATCAAATTCAAAATACATCTCGATGTACCGATTTTTCTCAACAAAACTCGAACTTACCTGAAACTCAGCATTTCCCAGTTCATAAAAACTCCTGCCCTGCCGCAAGCAGTTGACGAGTTTCCACGAGGAGTCTATGGGACAGCCGAGCAGTCTGCCGAATACCAGCGACGTGTTCTGAACTCTGAACTTATCTTCTATCATCGCCCAGTCCGCTAGCGCTGAGCCACTCTAAAACGACAGATAATTAATTTTATATTAAACTAGCTACTTCCGCGCGGTTGCACCCGCTCTGCTCGGCTCCTATTTACCGTAACGTGATGTTTTGTTTCCTATAACCTTCCTCGATAAATGCACTATCCAACACAAAAAGAATTATTGAAATCCGGAGTAGTTCCGGAGATTAGCGCGTTCAAACAAACAAACAAACAATCAAACTCTTCAGCTTTATATAATAGTATAAGATAAGAAGGATTATGGTTAGCCTAATTATAGAGTAATAATTTTGTAGAGAAAACATGAGCAATCGATTTGCGCAAGTTCTAAACATTTTGCGCAATAAGTGCAAGGCTTTGCGCAATTCATAAATGCATGATAAATCTTCATTACAATACTCCCAGGTCGATTAAAATTTTTAATTCATTATTAAGGTTTAGACACGATTTGTATGAAAGAATTAAAAGACAATTTAAAAAAAATCGTTTAAATTCAGGAATCCCTTTTGCAAAGAAATACAATTATCTATTTCTATCAAATATGTCGGGGTGTTTCAAACCGGCTAGACACTTTGGCTATGCGTAGAGATGTAGCCTCGTTGTGCATTTTCTATCGCTTATACCACAGGAGTGCTCTGAGAAATTGTTTGACCTGATACCTGCCGCATCTTTTCGCCATCGACCCTCACGACAGCATATCTATCCCCATCATATAGATGGTTGGCAGGCAACAACTGTGCGGTTCTCACGATGCTTTCTGCCTCGCACAGCAAAACTGTGCAATGATCTGTCGTCGGCGGTATTTCCGAACAGATACGACCTTCAAACCTTCAAGAAAAGAGCGTATTCCTTTTTAAAAGGCCGGCAACGCACTTGTGACTCCTCTGGTGTTGCGGGTGTCGATGGGCGGCGCTGATCGCTTACCATCAGGTGATCCGTCTGCTCGTTTGCCTCCTATTCAATAAAAAAAAACAAAAGCTAAAACGATTACCTGAGCAATAACCCTGGTAACAATATCCCTAGTCTGTGGCGCTATGGCGAGTAGTCCAGCGGAGGCAGCCCCGGCGCCCGGCCCGAACAGAGTGATGGAGGAGCGGTCGCCATTGAACGGAGTGATGTTGTCATACACCCAGCGCAGTGCCATCGCCTGGTCCAGGATACCGTAGTTACCTGGAGAGTTTTCGTCGCCCGTTGACAGGAAACCTGGTGGAAAATAAAGGGAAAATTAAACATAACATACATAACATCACGCCTTTTATCCCCGAAGGGGTAGGCAGAGGTGCACATTATGCCACTGTACAATGTAACACCCACTTTTCACAATTTATGTGATGGGTCCCATGTAATAGGGGGTGAGCCTATTGCCTTATATCGGGCACAATTCCAGACTCCGTGCTACTACTGAGATTTTTTTAAACCTAGTAATACTTTGCCCGACCCGGGAATCGAACCCGAGACCCCTTGCCCGGCAGTCGCACTTGCGACCACTCGGCCAACGAGGCAGGACAAAATTAAAATGCTGTTTAAATAAGTGATGGTACATCGATCTAATGTTACCGGGAACTTAAGTACATACATGTTTAATCAAACAAAGTTATTAACTATCACAAATGTAAATATGCGTCACTCTGTTACGAGTCCATCTATAATTTGGTAAGCCAATACATCTATATTACTCAATATATTGCTATAAATATATTTTAAAATAAAATCTTGAAGGCTTTCTTTAACTTAAGACTTTGACTGCCAAGCCAATAAAAAACTTGAAGGTAAATCCTCCGCTAACGCCGGTCACCGGTGGCCCCCATGGCGTTCAACGTGTTAATTGGTCTGTGTTTTGCTCATTTAGTCAATTTTATAACATTTCCTTACCTAAGGCTCCAAGTCTATAATTGATAGACACAACAATAACGTTGTAGAAGGCGGCCATCATGTGCGCGGGGAACATGTTCGACGCTCCGGAGGTGTACTGTCCGCCGTGGATGTACACCATTACTGGGTAGCGCTGCGCTGTGGCTCCGGCTTCAGTCTAATTACAAGAGAGAGAAATATCTTAGTTATATTAGGGGTTTATCTAACGCAAGATATATTTTATTACCGGAATAATTTTGATTGAGAAATAAGCCCTTAACAGATTTGTGCTATATAAAATCAAGGGATGACGTCAATATGACAGAACGCCTGCAGGTAATACCCCCTTAAATCTTTTTTTTGTAAGTTATGTTATCTCATTTGTATAAACCTATCGTAGATTAACAAATAAATGTTTTAATTCTGATTCAGGGAAAACCCTTAAAAATAGGTATTATGACAATAGTTTTAGTTTTTGTTATTAGTTTTTTTTTACAAAACGTTGCCCCACACTAGGATTTTCTTCTATGTCGTGGGTGCGTTTACAAACATACAAGTTCAAACACATGGATTAAGTTCCTCGAGTCATTTCTAGTCAAAATCATTAATGCTCTCTACCATAAATCAAAGATTCAAGTAACCACATAATGCGTCACACACCCTTCTATCACAAAGTCCATTCCTAATGAACAGTATAAAGTCTAATGAAGCAATAGGCCAGTTAATCAATTCAGGACAGTTAGTCACATCAGTACGTCGGCGACCACATTTGCTAATTGAAAGAGCTTCTCCCTCGGGGCCATTGCATTTGGCATAATTTGTAATGAAATCAAAACAGTGGCATTAGAATTTGTAGGTGTACTTGTATATTAACCTAGGTTTGGTAAGTAGATTAATTAGGCTGCGTGTATTATTTTCATAACATAACGTCACGCCTTTTATAGGCAGAGGTGCAAATTATGGAACTTAATGCCACTGTAGAATATAACACCCACTTTTCACTATTTATGTTATGAGCAGTGATCGGAAAAAGGTGAGCTAATTTACCTAAACTTCAAGGAACAAAAACAAAAAGTGGAGACTTCCTTACTACAACATTTTTTTCGGGAAAGTTCCGGTTCCAGTTTCGGGATATTTATATATTACATTTAATATAATTGTTATTAATACAGAAGACAATTGATTTCGTTTCGTGATTTTATTTCTTAAATTTAACACAAAACCAAACAAAATTAAAACTTTTATGGTTTTCAACAATAAATATTTTAAGATGTAAGAAAGAGCATAAAATAAAATTATTCAACACCAAACTTAACAAAAACCTAAAATCGTGACAGAAGTTGCGGTTCCTTTCTAGCTTTTATTATTAATAACATAATTTTAGTGTTGAATAATTTTATTTTATGCTTGCTGTTATAATTGCTGTTATGAAGTTTAAGTTTACTTTTTACAGTGTACCTATTGTTTACTAAAACCATATATAAAAAAATAACGTCTCTTAAACTTTAATTCAAGCTTCATAAAGTTGAATTTAGCTTGTTAATCTTACGTGAATAAGATAAAACGTCCTAATTAAGATTCATTCAGTCGGTACCTAGTGATTCATTGTGATATGACCTCAAAGTTAACAAGATTACTCTTTCAATAGCAGGTATTGGCATAATGCCTGGAGTTTATTGAAGGTGAAAAATGTGCAGCGTTTTAAAGACGAAAATAATAATTAAAGATATACAAAATAGATAGATATATGTATTAAATATGGTCTGTGTGTGATGTGTTCGTGAATTTGTACGACGAATACTTTATATATTGTATCATCATAATCACCAACAGCCTACAAGTAGCCACTGCTGACTAAATGCCTCTTCTCACACGGAGAAAATTTGAACATTAATCACCACGCTTGCTCTATGTGGGTTGGCAAATTCAAACTTACATTTTTATTTTATATATAAAACGTTGCCCCCCTTTAGGATTCTCTCCCGTGACCGTGTCGCGGGTGTGTTTACAAACATACAAGTTCACATACACAATGACACCCGAAAGAACAAATTGTGGACCACACAAAGTGTTGTTCCGTGCGGGAATCTAACACGCGACACGTTCCACGGCAGCTGGTTGCCCAGCCACCGCACCAACCGTGCAGTCGCCAGTCTTAGAAATTATAAGCCTAGGTTTCTTCACGATCTTTTCCTTCGCCGCTTGTCAGTGGTGTCTAGATAATCTTAGAAAGTACATATAACTCGGAAACAGTCACATTGGTACTCTCTTGCATGAGAAGGGGCGTCTTAAACCTTCCGGCAACCACGAATTCTTATTTGACGTAGCAACAAATATAAATTCAAAATTAATATTGTAAGTTTTTGCATATTTTAAGCACATAAGTGTGAGTGAGGTTACCGGAGGCCCAATTACTCTCCCTTTCCCCAATCTCCCCAATTCCTGAATCCACAACGATCCTCAAACTCCTAATCCCCAAAAGGCCGGTAACGCACTTGTAACGCCTCTGATGTTCCAGGTGTCCATACCGACGCCGATTGCTTACTATAAGGTAATCCGTCGGTTCGGTTACCGGCTTATGCCATAAAAAAATAAGAACAATAGGAAATTAATACAGAATAGAACCCATAAGACCAAATTGGTTACAAATGATGTAATTTGCAATGTACCCATTACGTATGCTTTGTCCCATGCCCGTAAACCTATGTATATATAAATTATTGGGTTAACAATGACGCCAGATAGCACTAGTGTGTACCTCTCGTCTTTCATCCAATAGAAAATTAGCTAGGGTTACGCCATTGGACGTCCAATATTCAACAACTGCTGTGATTGGACAACGAATCCTCTTTCTATTTTTGCGCCATCTAGTGAGCAAAAATGACTATGGTATGGTAGCCCTTATTATAACGCTTATGTGGAGGTATTATGTTTCAATATCTGTGACGCCTTTTAATCCCTAAAATAATATATGTAGTAGCCATGAATCCCTTGTAATAAAGTGTAAGCCTATTGCCATAAAAAGGCACAAATATCAAAAAAATCCCTATATCTTTTTGGCCAATCCGATAATAATCAAACCCCTATCTTGCAAACGGCAATGCCAGTTGCAACCACTATATAAAACAATCATACATTATCCTATAAATAAATTAATATAAAATGTAATAATCAGATGGCCTGGCTATCCGCAACAATTCGCTAGAGACAAAAGCTGTTTAGCAATATCATAATTATGTATCTGTCATGGCGACCTCATTTGTGGCTCTGTTTTATTCAGTCCACGATGGAATTAGATAAATTGCATTATATTCTACAATGACAGTATGCCAATGATGAGCTGGTTAATAAATTAGTTTTCATAAATGGTTTTGTATTTTAAAGAAACCTGGAGGACTAAAGTATCAGTATAAAAACTTAGGTTAGTTTTAGGACGATGTCCAAAAAATATTATATCATCACACTTATAATAGGTAGGTACGCGATCAAACAGTAGTAGCCCACTTTTACCTATTCATATTACTCTAGCATATATCAGGGAGACTGCTATACATAGTACGCCACGAATAATTTTCGTTGCTTTTTTTATGGCATAAGCCGGTAAACGAGCAGACGGATCACCTGATGGTAAGCAAGCACATGGACACCTGGAGTACCAAAGGCATTACAAGTGCGTTACCGGCCTTTTGGGGATTAGGAGTTTAAGGATCGTTGGGGATTCAGGAATTAGGGAGATTGGGGAAGGGGAGGGTAATTGGGCCTCCGGTAACCTCACTCACACGACGAAACACAACGCAAGCGTTGCTTCACGTCGGTTTTCTGTAAGGCCGTGGTATCACTCCGGTCGAGCCAGCCCATTCGTGCCGCAGCATGGCTCTCCCACACTTGAAACTTGCTTATGAAAAAATCGAACCAGTTACCCACTTTGTTTAGAAGTATGTACTACAATTCAGGGATTTTTTTTCAGTTTTACTAAGGGACACAACAAAACAGAAAAAGGAATAAAACAGTAATGAAATTGTACTCACATTAGGCGAAAATATATTCAAGTAGAGACAGTCTTCGTCCATATCTCTGATGCCCTTCGTAGCGCCGGTGTATCTTACTGGTTGGGGACAAGCTGGACCCCAGTCCACTGCTTGCATCAGTTGCCATCCGGGATGTTGGCGGGGAGGCTATAAATTAAGATGACGATGTAGTAACACTGTCAAAAATGGATGCATAGAACACGACATACAGAAACATAACATCACGCCTTTTATCCCCGAAGGGTAGGCAAAGGTTTACATTACGACACTTAATGCCACTGCACAATGTAACACCCACTTTTCACTATTTTACGTTATGAGTCTCATGTAATAGGGGGTGAGCCTATTACCATATACCAGGCATAATTCCAGACTCCGTGCTACTACTGAGATTTTTCGAAAAAGCCCAGTAATACTTTGCCCGACCCGGGAATCGAACCCGAGACCCCTTGCCCGGCAGTCGCTATTGCGACCACTCGGCCAACGAGGCAAACGACATACAGAAATAATTGAAAAACGTTCAAGAACTAGTCTTTTAGTGCCAGTGGGTTCACCCACGTTCCTGTGGGATAAAAAGTATTCCAATCTGACACATTTAAATAATTTGTTGACATGTACCTAATTAAATTACTCATATATTGTTTGAAATTATTAGTAAGTTAAACTGTCAAACACCAAGCGGTCACCGGTGACCGCGACCTATTGTTCTTTAATTGTGTCTATAAAACCGGTACTCGACGAGTTAAATGAAGTTTTTTATCTATGTATGTATTTAATTTATGTATGATTGTGTTTTATTTTAATTTAATTGTATAATAAAAGCATTATCTGACTTTCTTGATTTTTATGTGATTGTTTTTTAATTTTGGCTCAATTATCAAAACCGTATTCGACACAAATGTAAATTTGTTTATGAATAAATAAATACAAGTAAGCCAGACCATAATCTATCCCTTTTCGAAATTTTATCTTGATCTCTTAAGCCGTTTTGACAAGAAGGGGTAACAAACAAACATACAAAATTTCGCATTAAATCAATTAGTAGGATATGATTATGGGCCTCTGGTGTGGCATGAAACTAGTCGACTAAATGTCCTCCAACAGTTATATTAGTAAGCCGATAAATTAAAATAATTTTGGTATATAGCCCGTAGCCGTTTAATGTGTGGTTACTGCGAAGAACTTATTATAATAATTCTTACCTTGAACCTTCCTTCCAGGACAGGTGGTCTAGCATATGGTATTCCCAGGAACACTGACACTTCTCCCTGTATCCTCTCCACTGGTGACAGCCAGGGTCTGTACCCCGAGTCTGGGTCTGGATTGTCATATAAATACACCTGTTGGTGAAGAGAGAATTTGTTAAAATATAAGTCTAGGTATTATTGTCCAATATAAGGGTAGCAATCACAAGTGTGGGATAAACTCTTTAATTTAAATAAAAAATAAACAATGTATGTATCCTAAAATAATTATTAAAGAAATGAATGCTGCACACAAGGAATTTTAGTATTCACATCACTACTTAATCTCAACATCTTCATTAACTATACTTCTATGATCGAAGCTCAAAATAAAAAAAAACATCAAAGATTATACTATACATACCTTAAATCCTTGCACTTGTCCATAATTGGTAGTAACAAAGACATCCCTCTTGAGCTGCCTGGAGTCCCTCCTCTCCCTCCCTTGTAAGTCTTCCCTCCATCCTCCAAGGACACCAGGGAATAAGGCATCTGGGTTGTTTGGGTCTCGGTTCTACAATGATTGTGAAGTGTTTGATTATTCTGAACTACCAAGAACAGTAATTTTTTTACACATAAATATTTCTACCTCCTACCTACATACATACATAATTTCACGCCTGTCTCTCATGGGGGTAAGCAGAGACTATGGAACGCCAATTACTACGATTCCTATATATATCTCTTTTGCTTCATCAACAGTTATCAATCTTTTCATGCATACTCATTGGTTAAGGGTACTTTTAATAAATAAATAAAAATAAATAAACTTGACCCGCCTTTAATATATCGCCAATCTGGGCGCTTACTCTTGAAACCAGTCTCAGTGTCAATGCAATTTCAATCAAATAAAATTTCAATAATTGTTCAATGTCAACACTATACAACCCCTATCGTAGCTGTTAAAATAGCATTCAAAGTACGTAATATAAAGCCAAACACGATAGATACCATTTAGTTCATTCAATATCCACGCAGTACCGATGCAATGGGCGCTAGTGTTGCAACTTAAGAGTATAAAATTTCACAATACCAATGTTGATCGATCGGAATTGGATTCAGGAGTAAGCACCCTGGTCGGTATATGTCCCTCTAGGGCACCCTCTACTGACGGCCCCATTTATATCCGCTTTGTATACGTCTTTCATTACTCTTTCATTACCATGTTTTTACAAATAATATTGTAAATGTGAAAGAGGTTTGTTAATCCTAGAAGGATTAAAGTTTAATTTTGTAATATGAAGTTCTGTAAAAAAGTTGGTACCACAGATATGATGGGCAACTTTTTATTCTCATAGGTATATACTTATTTATACAAAAATATGATCCATTTTGTTCTTAATTTTGTTTATGCAGTTAATCACACTAAAAATATGTACTGTGTAGTACATTTCAATTACCTATTCCTTTATTCATTCACAAACACTGTTTACAAAACAATGTATCAACTTATAAAGTGAATCAATCAATAAGAATCTGATTGTGAAACTTATAAGAAATTATTATTAAGATAAGAGAATTTAATGTTCATTAGGTATAAGAGTATTTCATATTACTTGTAGGTAATAGTTGTGTGGAAAACACTGTTTTCAAAGAAAAGTTATTTTTTTCCTATTCAAATGTTTTGTGTTCTTGTTATAATACCACTAATAAACTTAGTACTTACAATATTATACTTGAACTGATCATCCAAAGGGTTTGTGTTGATTGGATTGTATGGGAATCCTCCCGGCTGATTTATATTAGGGTTATAAGGGTTATATCTTGTGGGATCCGTTCCATATCTTCTGTTATTGTACACATACGTCCTATAGTCACTGTCACCTGGACTCGGTAGTCTTGAAGACCGAGAACTCTGCTCTTGAGAGTTGTAAAATTCATTATTCACTTGTCCATTATACAAGTCTTTATTAGACTGACACTCAACACTAGCACATAAGAACAACGTTAATAAATACTTTTTATACATTTTCACATCACAGAACACGTTACAAAATTAGTTACACACAACTTTCTGGATGAGTCACCATCATACATTTGCGTGCGAATCTTCTTCGCTCACCTGCAGGGCACAGCAGTTTTATGAATTAAAACTTGTGTAATTATAAGTTAATTCACCGTAAACAATAACTATTACTTTTCTCACACCGTGACTAAGATTCTGTAAGACAAAAATAGTACCAAACAAAGTTTTATGAAACACGGTAAGGTACAAAGAATGTATCACATTTTATCTCTGAGGACCTAGTTCCGATTTAGTACAATGTCGCAAAAGTATATGAGGGCTTATCTATTTGTAATCAGCGAGATATCGGTATCAAAACGTAAGGCAACGCCCATTTGAACGCGGTTTGTTTATTTCGACTTCGTTGTGTGTGTTCAACTTTTCAACTGATTTCGACATTTTATACTATCGATATTCTCGCCTTTTTACCGACTGAAGCAAAGAAAATGTTATTTTAATTAAAAAACAATTTTCTGCATAAAATATTACTATAATTTATTGGTTATGTTCCTAATTCACAAAAATTTGTGTTTATGAAGTACTGAATAAAAACGTAATTAAAATATTATTTAATTTTTTTTTAACAATTGGTTGATCGAGAATTTCAGTTCATACAGCTTTTTGACGTTTTCAAAGGTCATTGACTTCTTTTCGTTCGGAAATGGTTACATTTCATCATTCGCGATGGCGATGCAAAGATTTTGTCTATAACTAGCGCCTCTAGTGTCAAAATTGTGAAGCTATTTAGGAACGACACTGAGCATGAGATATAGGTAGGTGCACTATTCGACTCACTTATTTGCTGTTTTATTAGTCAACTAGCTTTTACCCGCGGCTTCGCTCGCGTCACAAAAGAATAAAAAGTAGCCTATATGACATATACACACACAGCGCCATCTATACCAATAATTTCGTTTTCCCTCAAGAATATCAAATTTTTCCGGGATAAAACGGACCATAGAATTGGACCCTCCTGCCAACCCAACGCCTGAGAAACGACGTATCCAGCCGTTGCCCCACAATAATTCGATACCTAGTGCGCTGGCCAACTATGATAGAATATCATTTATCTCCTTGTTTCTGAATCCACATTTACCAGCAATGATCCTACCTCATTCTATAAAAATCCTCATAATTATCACCATTTCATTTATTGGACAAAGACTTGGGTCCAATCAAGAAATTATTAACTCGTCGAGTACCGGTTTTATAGACACAATTAAAGAACAATAGGTCGCGGTCACCGGTGACCGCTTGGTGTTTGACAGATTGACACTCATACAAGTAAATGGGTACTGTCATAGTAGTGAACCTGTTGGTTTTGCTTTCCTTGGATTTCATTGCCATTTTGGGACTAATAATGGATATTGTGACAGTGTGTAATACAGTATTACAGTCCTCATCGAATTGGTCTCATCCGTCCACAATTTGCCTAAGAAAGCGTACATCATATACAATTTATAATTGAAGCAGCTGAAGAAATAAGACGCTCATTCAGTTCAAGAGTAACCGTCACAGAGATAAGGAAGCGTGTGCGTGCATGAATTCATCATAGGAAAGGTCACTTTGAATAACATTTTGTAAATAATGATGTTTTTGAAATTGCGCATTTTCTTTTACACGTTACTTATCACTAATTTTATGAATTCACTTTTGAGAATATTATAAATTATTTAGTGTTTGTGGGTAGCTAACGAATCAAGGAAGTTGATCTAATAGTTTGTACGCTTAGAGTAATATATATTTTTTAAGTTAAATCCAGTTTTCTATTTTAAAACGAATGATATTTCTGTCAGTATTAGTATTAATAAATGTTTATTGGTGTATTGACAACAAATTAAAACTAAAATCACTTAAATCAAACAAGCAGTTTTCTATTTATTGATGTTTTTGTAGTTCGATCTGTTTTTTTTTTCACTGAAACTGAAAATATTGAATATCTCAGAAACTAGCCACTTTCGGACCAGAGATATCAGGCCTATTTTGTAGAACATTTGTTGTATTGTTGTATTATTATTACCTCCCGAGAGGAATACGTCGAGTTACATTACAAGTCACTCTGTATACGAAAACTGTCAGTGTCGTTCTTAGACAGCTTTACAATTTTGACACTAGAGGCGCTAGTTGGGATCTTTGCATCGCCAATACTGTCATAATCAAGTCTCTTCAGTGATGGATTATTTTTTTTTTGATCTTTTGACAGTTTTGACTCATGATAGGTACCAAGGTACTGGTTATGGTTACTTTTGAATACAATCCAAAATATAATATTGTGTGTAAAAAATTAGCAGACTTTCGTTGGTAGTGGTGAAGGTCGCACTCGCACGTGTTTTTATCGGTCATGCGATTGTTATCAATTTTAGTGATCTTATTCATAGTGATCTAAATTGAAATCTTTTATTTATTTATTGTGCTGTTCAATTGTATGTGTATTAGTTTTAGTAAGGTATTGTACTTTTAACTTTGATCGCTTGTTTCCTCTTTCCACCTTTCTTACTTTTTTTTTAATTTATATTACGGACGAGGAGAAGCCTTCTGACCCTCCCGACAAATCTCTGGAGTACAATCCCATTTTATGTGTCTCGCTCCTCCATGACAACCAGGATCTTGAATTCATGGATTCTGGAAACAATATTAATAGAAAAAGACCTGGAGGCTCTCCCATTATCTTCTGTATCAACCCTCCGAAGTTAGCGAAAAACATTAATGGTAGGCAGTGTTATACTCACTATATTGTCCATGTTTCGCTCAAAGACTCCCAGACTGGCACTAGTCACCACGCAATCAAATTCGGAATGTTCTTGACAAAGAATCAACATTAGCAATATTAAAATTGTAGGAGTGAAGCGCAAATTGTAAAGCTGTATAAGAACAATAAAAACAGTTTTCTTAAACAGACTTATTCCTCTCGGGAGGTAATAATACAACAAATTTTCTACAAAATAGGCCTGATATCTCTGGTCCGAAGTGGCTAGTTTCTGAGATAGGACTCCTCCAAGCGTAAAGGAGCTTACTACACATGTATCCAGTTCGACATCCGGCGGAATCTTTTGTTTTCCAAGCATAAGAAGCTCCCCAGACATACAATTTCGTCCTTGATCAGACTCAGACTCGGCCACTGTACTAGTCCGGTATTCCTTGACAAGATCCGTGTACGCGTCAGTTCACTGTCCAAATGCGGTCTTGTTGAGGGTACCTTAGAGCACATATTTTTCTCTTGCCTTTTAAATTTCCAGTCAAATTCCTCTTCCAACCAACTTCCTATACCTTCTAAGTAATTTTTCTAATAAATTAATTAAGGGTTTGTCCAAATTTATAAATTAAAATAATATTAACATATGACGGTGTGTAATAATGTAAATATTGTGTGTTATAATTATTTCTCTATTATGTATTATCTAATTATCTGTTATGTGTTAGGCAATGTAATGTAAGTGTATTTGTGATGTATGTTTACTAACCCAAGTGTTTTGTCCTTTATTTATTTATAATTTGGACAACCAGTAGTTGCTACATTAGGTCTTGTATCTAAGCACTTACATTGTAATAAATGAATAAAAATGCACAACATTTTAAGGTGTCACAACATGCACAGTAGTCTAACAATGACACTTTTATCAGTATTTGTGGCAATTGAAAAATAAACTAAAAACTAAAAAATACTTAAAATTAAAATTAAAACATAAAATAAAAAATATAAGTACAAATTAAAAACAAAAATGTAGTCATTATGGTCACTAAACAATCCCACTACAGCCTTTTTAAAATTCGGTAGTGTGTCAGCAAAAATGTCCACTTCACTTTTCTGTTGCTAAGATGACGCTACCTATACAATTAGGTAAATAGATCGGACTAACTTACCTGTGACGTCCGATCCTCAATTGTGTAGGTAGCGTCATCCTCGCTAGGTCCCAACCCTTCCCGGATAATTAACTACTAAAACTACCAAAACGTTAAGTTCGACGACCCAATAATCTGCCGTCACCACTCGACACTAGCAGTATAGTCGACAACATCGTATTGGAGACTATGTTGGCGATAAGAAGAAAAAAAAATAAGATACATTGGCTGTTGTTTTTAATTATTCTTTTTGATTACAGATTGAATTGCAACTAAACTGCCTAATAAAAGATGAACCCGACTAATAAACTTGCGTATAAACGCCACAAGTATTCAGGGCCGCGAAAATCGCGAAAAAAGGTGCAAGCCGCATTCAAACGTCATCATCAAAGTTCTTTTCTATGGTAAGTAAATCAGATTCCCACAAGATTTCGAATCAGATTTACGTGGGTGGAGTTTATTTGATTATCATTGGTTCATATTCTAGTTTTCGTTTACCGCTATTTGTCCTTTACTATGAAAAAAAGAAAAGATCGTTATGGTCGTATGCTCGAAAAAGGAGGCCATACACGCTAGGTTTTGCATGATGGTTTTAGCTGTGCATGTATAACCGACACACATAACCGAGCACCGATGCACAGATAACTGTACAGTTTAATTACATACACGTTAGGGCTTGCCTGTCATTTATGCATGCATGACTAAAACCATCATGCAAAACCTAGCTTGTATGGCCTCCTTAAGGTTAGTTTCAAATAGTATTATGTATTGAGCAAGTTTTAACTAATTGCAGCCGGGTGGAAGCATGGCGTACCAAGAAGGAGAAGGTAGTGGAAGAAACCGCGAACTGCCCTGTTGTATTTAGGTACCTACAGACCTATCAATATTTTTCTGTCACTCAACATTATTATTAACTGTACCTATTTCATTTATCTTTTATTTCAGTCCACATACAACTGAAGATCCTCTTCAGCTGTCCAAAGTTTCGACAGCTGAAGCTACGCCCAAAATCTATTCGAGCGGTATACCTTTTTTTTCCTACCTATAGTACCTATGTTCTTTTAGATTGGTTATTATTAGCCCTGTGGCGACACATGTCATATGTCAACGGATGACGTCACAAGATTCCTACATCGCACATGCAAAGTTGAAAAGCGAATAAACACGAATAGAAAATCCCAACGAACAACTGTAGGTCAGAAAGCCCGCCAGGCACGATCACCTCGCCTGGGTGCTTACTCTTGAATCCAATTCCGATCGATCGACATTGACATTGTGAAATTTCGTACTCTTGTCTTGTAACACTAGCGCCTTTTGCATCCGTATTGCGTGGATATTTCATGAACTAAATGGTATTGAGTTTGGTTTTATATTCCGTACTCTAAATGCTACTTTAATTAACTGCTACGGTAGGGGTTGTATAGTTTTGACATTGGATAATTATTGAGATTTTATTGGATTGAAATTGCATTGACATTGAGATCGGTTTCAAGAGTAAGCACCCATGACGGAGGATCCTCGTTTTCCGATCTTAGGGAACTATATATACTCTCTGTTCCCTGCCCTACCAGTTACAAGTTACAATGGGACTCTTACTCATTGACTTTAGACGTTGGGTCTGTTATTGTAATTAATTTTGTATGTCTCGCAATAGTTACTGTACAAAGGAGAATGTTATTTAAAACGCCTCACTCCTGTGTTGCAGAACAAACTTCGAACGCAGACTCTGTGCTTGAGACTAAAACATCTGAACATTTATCTGACATCGCCAATATTGAGGACGTCCACTGTAATAACGGTATGTTTTCTAAAGCGATGGAAAAATATTTTATTTGTCTATCTGTATGTTTACACATCACGCAAAAACTACCGGTCTGAGAGCCAAGCACGAATAAGTATCGCATTCGTAACGTAATAGTATCGAGCGCGTCCGGCGCTCTGATTGGCCAGCTCAAGTGAACCAACCAATCAGAACGCTTAACTCGCTCGATACTGTTACGATACGAATGCGATAGTTATTCGTGCTTGGCCCTCTGATTACGATGAAACTTTGTATGAGTACTTTTTAACTCGAAAAAGTATGTACACAAAAATAAAGTTACTGTACCAAACGCAAATATAAGTTTGTCGAATGTTATATTGCCCGAAGTGGACTTTACCTTGTGTTGTAACTGTTGGGCCGATGGTTGAAATTAGTTTGAACCGATATCCTTACTAATATTATAAATCGGAAAGTGTGTTTGTTTGTTTGTTCCGCTTTCACGCCGTAACTACTAAACCGATTGTTCTGAATTTTTGCAGACGTAAAGTTAGAAGTCTGGATTAAATAATAGTGTACTTTTTATCCCGGAAAAATTTGTTATTCCCGAGGGAAAACAAAAGTATTAGTATAGATGGTGCTGTATGTATTGGTATATGTCACATAGGCTACTTTTTATCCTTTAGTGACGCGAGCGAAGCCGAAAAACTAAAAGCTAGTATTGTATATGTATATGAAAACATGTGAGTTTGTGTATATGTTTATTACTCAGTCACATCGCATCGGCTGAAGGGACGGGGATGAAATTTGGAATAGAGGTATATTGTGGGTACTGGGTAGAGGTACTCGGGCGACACATAGGCTACGTTGTACACGTGGGGACGCGGGCGAAGCCACTGGTGCAATACATAGTAGACAAACACTCGCTAATATATATATCATAATTATATTAATTTTAGAGTAAATAGGTTGTTTTTGAATTGTTTGTCGCTTTTTATTGTTTAGTTGATTTTTTATTATTTTATTACTTAAATATTTACCTGTATTTGATCTCATTATTGTTCCTAATTTTAGTTATAATGTAATATTTTAATTGTGTATATAGTGACATGTAGACGATTTGGTAGATATAATACTGTTAGTCTATATTGTTGTAATCAATACATAGTAAAACAAAGTCGCTTTCGCTGTATGTCCGTATGTATGCTTAGATCTTTAAAACTACGCAACGGATTTTGATGCGGTTTTTTTTAATAGATAGAGTGATTCTTAAGGAAGGTTTGTATGTATATACATATTGCACCCGTGCGAAGCCGGGGCGGGTCGCTAGTTATAAATAAATAAATAATTATAAATAATTTGTTGCAGAACAAACTTCGAACGCGGACTATGTGCTTGAGACTTCAACATCTGAACATTTATCTGACATCGCCAATATTGAGGACGTCCACTGTAATAACGGTATGTTGTCTAATGACTGCCTCGTTGGCCGAGTGGTCGCGAGTGTGACTGCCGGGCAAGGGGTCTCGGGTTCGATTCCCGGGACGGGCAAAGTATTACTGGGTTTTTAAATCTCAGTAGTAGCACGGAGTCTGGAAATGTGCCCAGTATATGGCAATAGGCTCACCCCCTATTACATGGGACTCATAACATAAATAGTTAAAAGTGGGTGTTACATTGTACAGTGGCATAATGTGCACCTCTGCCTACTCGGGGATAAAAGGCGTGATGTTATGTTATGTTTTCTAATGTCTGTTGTAGTGTGAAATTATAAATGTAATTGTAAGAACACTTTTTTATGTAATGTTGCCCCACAATAGGATTTTCTCCTGTGTCGTGGGTGCTTTACAAACGTATGTTTATAACTTATACAGGTGTAAACGGACGCTCCAAAATAACACGGACCGGTGATTGTAAAAACCAAGTTTTATTTTCATTAAAGTTAGAAATTACATGTTTCCTTTATGTAATAATAGTTGCACTCAACTGCTCGAAGCTGGTGTTGTAAGAATAACAAAAAAAAAACAAAAAAAAACAAAAAAAATAATTAAAATAGTCTTATGTTGATTAAAATAAAAAGCAATTTCTTTTTGTCAGCTTTTAGGAAGCGTTCGGTTTACACCCTGTATAAGTTCACATACACATGACACCCAGACCCGAAACAACAACATATGGATCACACAAAGAGTTGGTCCGTGCGGGAATCGAACCCGCTACACGGAGCGCGGCAACCGGTTGCCCAGCCACTTCACCAACCGCGTAGTCAAGTTACTTCATAAGTATTTTTCTTATTTTTTTTTTTTTTTTTTCTTATATTTTTATTTGCTAATATGGGTAAATTAAGTTGTTAGCACATAAGTAGATACAGTTCCGACCATATTACGCCTTGAGGCATGCAAATTACAAAATTTACAAAAATTACAGTTTTACAATGTTATTTGGAAAAAAAATCAAGTACATTCAAATTCAACTTTCACACAATTATTGTAATATAAGTGAATTCAAAATATAATGTCAACAATTTCATTAAAATTTAATGTCAATAAATGTATTTCTCAAATAAAATGTCATGAATTAGATTAAATAAAAGTCATACAAGGACAATGCCCAAAAATGTGTGAGATTCCACACCGATTGGTTTACATATCATATCAAATGCATGCAAAACTTATAAGTATAGAAATTTACTTAATAAAAAATAGTGATATTTTACATTAACATGTCCTGCAAATACTCGTGACAGTGTAATATGCTTTTGGCATTAATAGGGCTTTGATTTTCTTTTAAATATTTATATCTGAAATCTCCAATACAGACTTGGGTAGGTGATTATAGACACGTGGCGCCATGCGAAATATTTTATTAAGTAATGCTGTTTTAGCGCCTGGAAAATATACATTAGATTGATATCTATTACTATTAAATTTGTTAAAGCATTGCAGGTTTTTTTTGACAAATAGTGCAACTTCTAATATATAAATGCACGGTACGGTCAGTAATTTAGTTTTATAAAATAGGGTTTGCAACTATCTGTTTGCTTTATATTAGCTATAGCTCGAACACATTTTTTTTGCGCTCTAAACACAGCGTCTTTGTTAGTGGAGTTACCCCAAAAAATAACACAATACCTTAAGATAGGTGCAACATAGCCATAATAAGCCGTAAGAAGAGTTGAACTACTAACCGTCTTTCTGAGCATATAGAGTGCATATGAGTATGTATTTACTCTTGTGCAAAGTGAGTCAATGTGCTGTTTAAAGTTTAGAGTGTTGTCAATATTCAGTCTAAAAATCGCGTAACGTCCACTTCTTGAACCGAATCACTTTGGTAATTAATATTCATATTGGCTATTTTATTCGATCTATTTCTAAATGTCATTAAATTAGTTTTGCTGAGATTAATACATAAATTATTTGATGTCAACCAGTTTATTATATTTCCGAGAGTCATGTTTATCTCTGTCTCCATATCAATTTTATCATTTCCGGTAAAAAGTATTGTGCTATCATCTGCAAATAGGACAGTTTTGTATTTTGAAATATTTGGAAGGTCGTTTATGTATACAATAAATAGAAGTGGGCCCACCACTGTTCCCTGTGGAATGCCCGACCTGACTATTCTGCATGAGGATGAGTGGTTAACTACCTTTTTAGTTATAGGACATATCTTAGTTATTTGGGTTATTTGAGTTCTATTGCTTAAATAAGATCTAATCAAATCATGCATATTTCCCCTCACTCCATAGGCGTATATACTTTGTATTTCAATAGTATCAAAACTTGTTACAGATCAACCTTCACAAGTACACTTTGTCAATAAGACCGGCGACACCTTACCTCCTGGACCGTCATCTGGTAAAGACAAAAACGAAGATGACCATAATTCCAGTGAGTATATATATAACTAGCTTTTACCCGCGGCTTCGCTCGCGTCACAAAAGGATAAAAAGTAGCCTATGTGACATATACCAATACATAAAGCGCCATCTATACCAATACTATTGTTTTCCCTCGGGAATATCAAATTTTTTGGGGATAAAAAGTACCCTATTATTAAAATTTAATCCAGACTTCTAACTTTACGTATGCAAAAATTCAAAGCAATCGGTTTAGTAGTTACGGCGTGAAAGCGGAACAAACAAACAAACTCACTTTCCGATTTATAATATTAGTAAGGATAATATTGCGCTTTAAAAGAAATAAAAACAAAATTGCGTTTTTCTGTAAAGACAAAAATTGTTTATTTATAACTAATTGCGTATAATGTAATTTAACTTTTTAACTTAGGTAAATACCACTAATAAACAAAGTAACTCACCTGTAAAGACAAAAAAACAACATCGTAAGCCTTTATTTCTGGTATTATTATTCCTTTTAAGGGAAAATTATAAACTATAGTCAGAATTTTAATTAGATTCCAGATTTGACAATAGCTACTGTCATTTTGTGAAATAATGATACCACATATAATAGTGTAGTGATGCACACAAAAATCGATAAACAATCAGTGTGTGTGTTTTATAATAAATGTTACAGAAAGTGACAGGATAGCGATAGCGATGACGGCGACAATTTATAAAATAACTTATTACCATAATACATCTATCTGTTTTTTTTTGTCATGTTCTTTCATGATTACATTTTTTTATTTATTTCACACACAATTATAAAAGAAACGTCTCAGATCGTTAATTAATCGTCAAAACTAAATATCAGTTCAGAAATGTTTAATTTCCTGATATACTTAGTTCACGAGAGTAAAATTATTATTATTATAAACGAGAAGAATCGATCCAGAAATATTGCATTTCCATATCGAATAATTTCTCAACGTCACTATTTAGTACTTGTCATAACGTTGCCACACTGAAATTGTCAAATCTGGAATCGAATTAAAATTCAGAGTATAAAATACATTCATTCTTCTAAAAAACACACACACGTCACAATGGCAGTGACATCTCTTTATATTATGATAAAGCGGCCAATTCAAAAATGAGAATTGAGCACAGAGTATTAATTAAGAAAATATAATACAATGATTTTCTTTACATATATTTTCAATTAATTTCAAACATTCACTTTATGAATACCTACTTCATGTTTCAAAACGTTACTTACTAATTACTTGTTGCAGATCCCCCAGTGAAAATAGTAAAACGCAGTAGTCGCCGTAAAATCGCTAAAAAGACGGAAATTCCCAAATCACAAGGTATGTTGTAACGCGGTCAAAGCTGCTGATAAAAGCTATGCTGAAGCATAAAGAATTGTTATATTTTCGATCAATACCTGCGTTTAATTATTGTGAGTTTCGGCTTATTCACGTAATTATTTGACGAGAACTCGACTAGTTTCAAGCCATGCTCGAGGCTCATATTCATGAGCAGCCGCGACCCGCGAATTTATTTGTGTCAGCTTGGAGTTGTCATGCTCACTCAAAGGTCTCACTGGCGGTGGCGCGTGCAGTGGATCGCTCGATTCCCTACAATATGGTTGAGTTGGGCGGGGCTGGGGTACGTGGCGTGTTCGTGAACGGGACCCGTCAACTGGGACTGGTCAGCTCCAGACTGTATTATTGTCCTTAAGGTTATTTTCTTTTTTGATCACTTTGACTGGATTTTAGTGTTACATTGTTCTCGCACAATCCAAACAGTAAAACTGTGTAACTAGTAAATTGTATTGTGAACCTGATTGAAAAAGAGTAACCTATGGAGTTTCTTGCTCGTTCTTCTCCATAGGAATCTATACCTTAGAATGAGCAAATAGATTCACTTTTAATTTTTGTTTTTGTTGACGTTCAAAAGTGCCATTCTGGCCTAATTGAAATAAATGATTTTGACTTTGACTTTGACCGCGACCGGTGATTGTCGCACTGCTACTAGTGTGATACTAGTTTAGCATGAGTTGAAAGTAGTCGAGTTCCTCGTCAAATAATTACGTGAGTAAGCCTAAAAACATATTAATTTAGTATGTCTCACGAAATTTATAAATGTATCTGCGTTTGTTTAAAAGTGAGCACTGTACAAGTATTTCGTGTTACAATATATTATCATAAATTGTTGCAGCACTTCCTCTGAAAGAAACACCTGTGGTTCAGCCGTCTTCGTCTGCACAACCGCCTTCATTCCATATAGTCTTCCAAGATGATGAGGAAGTCGATTTAGATGGTATGTTTTTTATATTATTTTTTTACTAATAAATACATACAAAAGTGACAAACCGAAGCTTGGGGTATTTAGCCATTACGTCACTCAGAGACTGACTGACTGGCAGTACAGCTGAAAGTACTGGATCTAGGAAGCTAAAACTTCGCATGTACTACAACCGGCACAGCTGTTTGGCATGCAGCTAAGAAAATAATGATTGACTCAGTACAAAGACAGTACCTATTGTTACATTAAATCATATATATTTTGTGCTCAGTATTTTATTGGCTCAGTAACCAAGTAATGGTCATTGTGTCTATTGAATCAATCTTTATTTTTCATACCTGTATACCAAAGAACTGTACAGACTGAAATTATGTTCCTTGGGGAGTATAGGGGAGCAATAACCAATTATTTTCTTTCTATTAGGCTAAGGACTAATGCCGCGATTTTTTTTATGGCAACCAAGGCGTTACGAGTATGTTACCGGCCTTTTGGGAATTGGGAATTTGAGGATTGTGGAGGATTCGGGGATTGGGGAGACTGGGGAGGGGGGTAATTGGGCCTCCGGTAACCTCACTCACACGATGAAACACAACGCAAGCGTTGCTTCACGTCGGTTTGCTGTGAGGCCGTGGTTCTCCCACATTAAAAAATTTAGTATATTTTCCAAATTCACAAGACATTGTAAGAGGCTGTTGATATAAAGATGTGTTTGTTGCAGCCGATGTTATTGAGTTTGGCGAGCCAAAACGAGCACGACGTAATACTACAAAAAACGGACCATGTAAGTGCATTAGATGTAGATTGTCTTCCTAGTTCGCCGTCGATTATATCATACTATCTCTGATTCAGATGAACAAGATGACAACTTAGAATACCTGTTTTTAATTATTGTGTGTTTTTTCTTTAAGGCGGTGGTGCAAAAGCCTCATCCCCTAAACCTGAGCTATTACTTTATAACGGTAAGTACGAGTAACTACTATGAAACATTTTTAAATTGTAATAAGTAACACAATACGAATACTACTTTTTTATTCCAGGTTGTATCAATAAAGGTTCCGAAATCGGTGATTCTGAACCCGACGATAGTGATAACCTTCTTCAGACCACGTACGAACGAAGTGCTACGGCGGAGCCCGCACGTGAAATAGACTTAACGCAGTTTCAAGCAGCAGTGTTAAAGAAGGAGGATGAAGTCAATGATAAAGCTATACGCGAAATAGTCTCTGAAGATTGCAGTTCCACCTTCATATGGAATACTGACACATTAATGTTTCAAGGACGACGGGAGACATTTTCAAGTAAACCGGGACCCACATTAAAATTGACAAAACAGACTAAGCTTATTGAAATATTTTACGAAATGTTTGACAATGATTTCATTGAACTTTTATGTATTGCAACCAATAGGAAAGCAGAAGACATGATTGCTTTAAGCCGAAAACAAAACAAATTTACAACGCAATCCCGATTTTATCAATGGGTTCCCATAGATAGAGACGAAATGATAACCTTTTTGGCTATAATTATCCTGCAAGGCCTCTACCGGTTTCAAAACGACAAAGCCTACTTTGTGTTTAATGGTTTTGGCACTACGCCCTATTTCGCAAAAATTATGTCATATGACCGTTTTACATTGCTAAAAGATTGCTTATGTTTCGAGAATAACCATAACATACAGGACACCACTAGACTCGGTAAAATAAAACCCGTCATTGATTACTTGAATTTAAAATTTTCTAGCCTCTACATGCCTTCTCAAGAGATTGTCATCGATGAAACTCTCTTGAAATGTAATGGGAGATTAAGTTTCGCCCAAAAAGTTTCATCCAGGGCCGCAAAAACAGGAGTAAAAACTTATGAGCTGTGTGAATCATTGACGGGCTACCTCTGGAAATTTTACGTAGATGCTGGCAAAGGCAAATCAACTGGACTCGATGAGGCACACACAAACGATGACCTACACGAGGATGGTACAAATGGCGAACTGGAAAAGGAGCAGACAATAATTGATAAATTTGCTAAAGATGTTGAAGCTGTTGATATTATACCGAGTGAAAATGAAGACTGTAGTATTAAAATTGTTTACAACTTGATCGAGCCGCTGCTTCATCGTGGGCATACTTTAATAATGGATAATTTTTATAATAGTCCATTATTATTGCGACACCTGAAGAAACACAAGACGGATTGTTATGGAACCTTACGACTGAGCAGAGAATTCGTTCCTGATTCTGTAAGGAAATTAACAAAGAAAGATCTCCGACAAGGAGAAGCAATAGGCACACACTGTTCTGATTTGGGTATTATGGTATGGCGAGATGCCAACATTGTTAGTATGATCTCAACATACCATAATTTCCAAACCCGTTCTTTAGAAACCACTAACAAAATGGGTTATAAACCAATAGTAGTAGACGACTATAAGAAGAGTATGGCAACACTTCATAAAAAGGACCAATTCCAATCACCTCAACCTATGAACCGGGTTCGATGTAGAGGCTGGTATAAAACTCTCTTCTACAGATTGTACAATGCAGGTATATTCAACTGTTTTGTAATATATTCCAGTTTACACACTGGAATAACACATCGTAATTTCCGTGTAGCATTAGCAGAAGATTTAGTTAGGATACATAGGCAAATATGTATAACAAGGGAATCCCGAAGTTTGAATATAAGTCCCGAAGTTCCTAGTTCCAACATGACTGGAGACGTAAAGAGATTAAAAAAGCGAAGGAATATTAAAGCAAGACCGACGGTGGAAGGTAACCACTTCCCAATACGTACAGGGAGTTACAACACACGTTGTCGGCTTTGCCCTAAAAAAACCAGAACAGTTTGGAAATGCGAGGAATGTAACGTGAATCTTTGTATTTTGGGATGCTTTAAGGCGTTCCACAAGTCATAGTCTATTATTAAAGTGAAAGTAAAGTGTCATGCACCTATATTAGGTGTTCCTTAAAATTTAAGGGATTGTTATGAAGAATGGTGTTTGTCTGACTTCGCACGGGTCCTTGGCGCAATTTTTTGTATTTTGGACTTCTAAAATTGTGTTTCTGTCTCATAGTGTCCTTCAAATGTAATTTAGATATAATAATTTTAATGTACATTTAGGCCTGCTATACACGGAAGCAGTCAGAATCGACTGCTTCAAGTAGCGACTGCATAGTGAACTATAGACTTCTACTACTTAGGGGCTGTCCATTAATCACGTGATGTTTTTTAGCAACTTTTTAACCCCCTCCCCCCTTCTGGTGATGTGTAGTGAGGTTTTCCTACATCCCCCCCCTCTAGCCAAAATCACGTGTATTTTTTCAGCATAAAGTATATTGATATTTTCAGTATATCATCTTTAAATACAGGTATCATGTGATTAAATTTACGGTTTAGCTTTGTAATAGAAATGTCTACTAGACAGACAGGTTTCAGGTTGTTTTTGACTAGCATAAAAATCATATTCGCCACCGTTTTGTTTAACAATCGAGTTGTCAATGAAAAATAAATACACGTGATATTCCAATTTAACCCTCCCTCCCACGTAGTGATATTTCGTGATTTTTTTTCGAAAACCTCCCCCCCTTTTCGAGCCTCACGTGATTAATGGACGACCCCTTACGTAATTACGTACATACATGCTTGAGCAGTTGCAACAGCATTGGGCAGTTGACATTCTATCATGCGGTCAAGCAGTCGCCACGCATGCACCGACTGCTCTAACTGCCAACTCCTCTCGGGCGTCCACCCCCTCCCACGCTTGTCATTATAGATCCCCAAGCGGTCACCGGTGACCGCTCTCCACTACCTACATTATATACCTTATTTCCAATGCTTAGAGACTACTTTTGTATGAACAAATTTAGGGGATGAATTTCAACGGGTTACGATGACCTCGCACGTAATCACTGTAGCTCACCACCTTTTATTATAAATTCAATTTTTAAAATATGCTTCAGTTTTGTTTGCCATAGGTTTTCTAAGAATTGCACTATAATGAATTAAAATATATTATTGACAATTTAAAAGTTTAACTGAAAGAGTTATCATTGACAGCTTCAAGCTGTTCACTCCGTTTGCAACGGCGGTGTAAGTTTTGTTAGTGAGTAACTGCTCGAGCAGTCCGTGTATGTTAGGCCTTAATGGGATGATTGACTATTTAAGATTAAAAAAAAAAATAGATCTACTTATTTCAAGAATGGGAATATTACATTAATCTGTCAAACACCAAGCGGTCACCGGTGACCGCGACCTATTGTTCTTTAATTGTGTCTATAAAACCGGTACTCGACGAGTTAAATATATGTACCTACGGAGCCTTAATTCGTAACATCTACATGTTACAATTTTGTCGTACAATCGTCGTTATGATGATTTGCAGTTTACATACAAAATTTTCATTGTACTGTGCTTCATAGCACAACGTCCGATATGCATTGTATTTTTTTAAACATAGTGAAAGTTGGTTGGTAATACTCTTTATTAGTTATTTGACATAAAAATTCGTAGGTACTTTCTTAATTTTACATTACAGCAACATTCTCTATAAATAATAATAATACATTATTGTAATTTTTATCTAGAATTAATCTTAAGTCATTAGATTATGTTCTTTTGACTTTTTAAGTTTTTATTATTGTGATACATAAGTCAATTTATGATTCCAAAGATTTGACTTCGTTAATTGTGAAATTTTAATAATAAATTATTTATTATTATTAAAAAAGTGTATTTTGTTTTTAATTCCCGTGTAGTTTAGTTTATTCGATCGGCAGTAACTAAGCCTAGATCTCCACCCAAATATAATTATTTCATGCATGCATACATGCAGGTCCATGATTATTATCATCATGATCATTAAACTGTCAAACACCAAGCGGTCACCGGTGACCGCGACCTATTGTTCTTTAATTGTGTCTATAAAACCGGTACTCGACGAGTTAAATCATGGACCTGCTGTACAACCCGCCGGAGACGAATCAATACGACGCAATCAAGGAACGTCTCATATCTGCCTATGAATAGTCCGACAGCCGATAGTTCCAGAAACTACTGTCCGAGTTGGAACTCGGCGATCAGAAGCCTACACAGCTACTCCGCCGCATGCGTAACCTAGCCAGAGACAAGGTCCCTGACTCCACGTTACGACTCATGTGGACAAACCACTTACCATCACACATCAGATCCGTCCTGGCCGTCAGCGAATCATTCAGCACAAAAACTAAGCTGGAAGAGCTCGCTCTCCTCACTGACAAAACTATAATATAACTTGATCTAATGATCAAGTTATGAGTTTAACAAATAATACCGACCTAACAATTTTCTTCTAAAGAAAGTCGTACGTCCTGTCCGTTCAAAGTATTCAGAATTTTGGTCACGTCTTTCCCTGGTTACACTGAAGGCAGGTAACCGAAAATTTTTATCAAAATCGCTTGTAAATTGGAGCTCACGAACTTTCTAGGGCAGGAACAGATGGATTTATCTTCATTTTAGTCTTTTCTTCACTACACCGGGCTCAGCACCGATATCCAGTTTCGATCAATCGTCAATATTTTATGCGTCCGTAGTTGAGAACTAGATGCTCAAAACAGTACTTTTAGGGCAGTAGCTCTAAAATTTTGTACTTGTAGGTAATAAATAAATAAATAAAAATATGTAACTTAGGTAAGTTAGATATTTTTATTTTATTACTATTAATATCTACTACTACTGAAATTGTACAACGAAAAACAATATTTACATACTAATACTTTAGGTACTACCCTAATACTTAAAACTAAAGTAGCTACGTACCTACCTACTTATCTATCTATTGATTTACATTTATTACCCCGTCGTGTGTCTAAACGTGGATCGACGCGAGATAGTGTATTTTTTATTGTGTCTTATATCGGTGCATTCAAGCGGTTAAAAAAATAAAATAAAAAAAAACTATAGGTAAATTTGCGCCAATTTTCCAAAGTGCACATGGTCCCGCCAAAGTCACAGTATTAAAGTGAAAGCTGGCAAAGGCACGAACATATTCAGCCTGGTTCTGCCCACAGCGAGGGCTGTTCAATCTCTTAATTAATTATTCCCTAGTGATTGGATTATGGATAGTCTCGATAGCTAACCTTGTTTATCTAATAGTTATAAGATGTTCAGGGAATATAGTTTAAAAAGAAAAATATTTAAGTGTAGGTATGCATATTTAGAGTAGTTAGAAAGATATTTATTAGTTATGTACCTATTAATATCAATGTTCTTATTTATGAAGCCAAAAACATTCGTTGATTTGTCAATAAAAGTGTATTGCGGAAAAACCTCTATAAAACTGAAAAAATACTTCAGTCATTTTTTGTCCAATACGTCTTTAGAATTTATGGATCCACGGTAGTCTCATTTATGATTAGTAGCCGCTAGCAGGCAATAATTTAAAGTTAAAAATAAAATAAAATATAAGTAGTTTGAACCAATAAATTTAAAGAAGACAATAAGTAGGTAGGGACTAGGTAGTTTCTAGCTGTGCATACCTATACGATAACCAATTCACATGTATTTTATTACCTATGAAACGTAGGTCAGAATATTCTTTATGAGAGTATTTATATTAATCAGCAAAAATTATCAAGATAATAACAAGCTAAACTAACAAGGAGCTGTGTATTATAAAACTTATAAGGGCCCTCTATTATGATATGCCTACCTACAGGACCTTGAACTATAGAGGAGATTAGAAGAAGGATCAGTTCATTTATTTTGATAGTATCTTTACGTTTAATTGCTTCACATAAGGTATTTTATTTCTTTTTCGTGTCAATTACAGAATAATAATAAAGGTGGACCGACCGTTGACTTTAAATCACTTCAAATGCGTAATTAGATAAGTTTAAGTAGGTATTTTGTCTAAAAAATGAAGATGTATATATTCCTATTTATCTACGGAGCCATTTTTACGTATTTGTTTTATCTCTGCACCACACAAAGGTTTTATTGGTAGAGACTGACGAAATGGTTATGCTTAGTTCGCTTAAGTACGTACCTATGCAACAACATTAAAGATTTAGCGATACTTTATCAAGGTTTTTTGATCTTAGATAAAGTAAACCTTCTGTCACCGATGTCTGTTGAATCGCAATAATTAATCCCAACGAGTTCTTTATTTGACGTTTATGTGGATATCTATTGTCCATTAACACTTGATTCTTGTTTTAAAACTATATCTTGATAGAGACAGATCTTACTAATTTGGTTAGTGATTTGTTTGGGAAGCTGAAGTTGTTTGGGATGAAATGGAAAAAGGAGTTCAGAAGACAGAATTGATTTTTTTTTAAAGTTACCCCACACTAGGGTTTTCTCCTGTGTCGTGGGTGCGTTTACAAACATACACTCATACAGGTTCACATTCACATGACACCCAGACCCGGAACAATAACCTGTGGATCACACAAAGAGTTGTTTCGTGCAGGAATCGAACCCACAACACGTTGCGCGGCAGTCAGTCGCCCAACCACCGCGCCAACCGTGCAGTCATTCAGTCAGTCATATATTATCAATGAGAAATCTGATCTGTTCAAGGACGGCGGACATGTCACTTAGATTGAAGCACAAAACGGTCAGTGGATTATTTATGTGTGTAATGGGTTATTACAGATGTTTTTCGTGTCAATGTGTGTATATTCTGCGTGTAAGTATAGTAGCCAGGTACCACAGTCGTTGTTTCAAGAGACTGTATCCGCCTTTTTCAACGTCCTTGGATCTGTTTCCTATGCATAAGAATAAGAACGTTTATTTGCACAAAGTATGGCAATTACAGGTAATAATAATTATAGAAAAATAGTCCTACAACAAAATATTAAATTCGTGACGAACTATAAAACTATTCAACTAATTATCACATAAAATCAAAGGTGAATAAGATAATAATCACAATAT